AGACTCGCGTGAACCCAAGAACTGGGAACTCAACCGCAAGCCTGGGAGACCCAAACAACAATGGGCTCGTTGCGTGCGCGATTGCATGGAAGATATGTGGCTCTGATTTCGCCTCCCCTCCTGCCTTCCTCCCTTCCTCGGCCTCGGCTCCTCCCTCCCCTCTTCCTGCACCCCGTGCCGTCACGCATTTGGCGTGTCTTTTATTTTCCTCGGTGCGCATTTGGCACGTCTGCCCCCATGCATTCTCACGCGCATTTGGCGTGTGTTGCCCACGCGCCCCAATCCAAAACTCAAAACAATTTTGCGTGCCGATGCGCCGTGTAGGCGCCTGGCTTCTGTCTGTCTACAGGTTATGGAGGGGCTCAATGCGGTACCTGTACCATGCTGTCTGGAAATAACCGAAACGGCGGGACAACAACGTGATGCATCATGCTGGGATGCAATACGTGAACCGATATCGGAGCGGGCCAAAGATCATCACACAACGGGTGCGAGGGGAATGGCAAATTGTTTGCAATATCATGCGTCAGATTACATCAGTTTGCTCAGCGAAAACGGCCCATGCGAACTCATTGTGCGACCTCGCATTGCCCGAGGTCTGGACTAATGCAGCCTCCGCTGGAAAAATACACATGTTTTCTACCATGGGGAATGTTGCTTCTGGATAACTATTTTACGGATTACTATGGGCCTGACAAACACGGACATGGACGGCTAGCTGATAGGATTGGCGGTCGTTGGCAAAGACGATAAACCGAGATGTTCGCAACTTGGAGACAAATGTTCAGAGAATTTGGGGCTCAAATCCCAAACCGCAATGCGGAACGCGATCTCCACACAAGGGACATACCCGTCCGACCAGAAAACACGCGCCGACTAGATATCATCGTAACGTGCGCAAGCGCGGTCAAATGATTGCTGATATATTGCGACGCCACCGTAGTGAGCCTCATTCCAAAAAGAAGCATGCCGCGAAGAGCGCGGACCTTGGATCTGCACAGGCGAGGCGTCCTTGATCTTGCCCTACAACGCGCTGTGGCTAGGTGCCCCATGGGGCTCAATAGCGATCTGGTTTACACGTTCCAACGTCCCACTTACTGACTTGGAAATGCTTTGGACACCTCCTCCCCCGTCCTCTTCCTCCTCCTCCTCCTCCCGTGACGCTGCTTAGCGCCGCGCTTGGCCCATTTGCTCAAGGCGAATGGGTTGTTGCAGCTTGCTCGGCGCTGGCTTGCGTTGTGGGTTCGCTGTTGCTGTGGGAGGAAAATTTCGTCCATTGCACCACTGCGCCGTGCCAAGGCTTACCACCTACTTCAAGCCATATCCCCGGACAAATTGCAAAATGCTACTGGTGGCCAAAGACAAACTACGCAATACTCCAGGTAATATGTTGTTTCGATTTCGTTACTATTGGATTTGCAATATGTTCTGCATCCATCTCACGTGTGAGAGAACACATGCAAGACATTCTGGTGCGCTTACTGAAACGGACAACTCGACACGATAAAAACGGGGCTCATGGTAATGGAAACTGGTGCCCGCTGCCACGTTGTCATTGCAACGCATGTCCTTTGTTTGTCGTAGAACAATGAAGCGTACTTGCTTATTCGTTTGTATTAGTTTGTGGGCGCCAACATTCTGTGTTATAGAACATCTGGTCTTTATTCCGGAACCCGTGTCCCTGGTTCTCGAACAAAAGCGCTTTTTATGTGGGACCCTGGTCCGCTAATATGGAATCCCGTGTTCCTTATTATGGGAACCCATACCCTTTGTTACGGAAACCTGTGCTCAATTAGCGGACACTCGTGTTCAATGTTTGGATCCCGTGACGCCCCAATATCAAAACTTATGTCAATGAATGTCGAAACCGTCGTTCGTGAATATCGTATTGTGTAAACTGAAATAACTTCGTTCGTCTGACCTCAGTGGCAGCATGCACCTAATGCAACGTGGAAGACGCATCTGAACTGCCTTCTTTGCACTGCTGGAGGAAGGCCGATACGTACCCACGACTACAATTTTGCGCGTGTTGGTCACACCACAGAACCGTGTTCCGCCTGGGGCTTTCCAAAGTCTGCCTTGCTCTGCGGTGTCCAATTCATTACTCGACAGAGACTGACACGATCGGAACAACCGGGGCGGGGAGGCCAGCGACAACTTGACAGTCACCACCCCTCGCGTCAACCACAGTGGGGGCGGATGAGAAGGAACGGAGGGAGGAGAGAAAATGACAACTACGACAAACGCTCTGGATATCGAGAAATTTAGCCAATGCGGACTTCGCGATTTCTGCTGACACATGGATTTTGAAACATGTCTGGAGAAATTCATTCGCGCGCGAAGGCTGGATACATGGGCGTGATTCAAGTTTCGCCCAATTCTGCCACTGTGGCGCTCTCGGGCATGATGCAGAATTCGCTGGCCCAAGCGGCCAGAGGCGTGCTAAGATCTCCGGTAACTGGTTAACAATATTCTTCTTCGCGCGCGCGGGGCGGCCCCTGGGGGTCTCCCGGCGAAAAATACCCCGGCAAGGTCCCGGCAAGTCCGGGTCAGAGATGCCGGACCGGGCAATTTTTCGACACCCCTCACGAGGATCGTGGCCTCCGAGGGGGGAGCCGCAATCGACTACCCTCCCTCCGCTCCAAGAGGCCCCCAAGATCCCCCCAAGAGGCCCTGGGGGCCCCCAAGACGCCGTCAAGGAGCCCCAAGAAAGAGACTCCCAAGAGGTCCCCAAGAGGCCCTAAAGAGGGCTCCAGGGCTGGCGGAATGAGCGAAGCGATTAAATAATGACGGCAGATGAAGAAGAACACAAGACCGTCCTGTGTGAACGCCACGTTGTGGTCTCAACGGGCGCACCAACAGTCATCACCTACTTGAATACACCAGCGCCTGAACACCACTTTGATTGTGAGCACCCAGGCACCCGTGGGTACCACAACGCCTGTGAGCAGCAAGACGCATGAACACCCCAACCCAGCGTCCATGACCACCAGAGTGGTTGCGACGCTGGGGATTCCTGTCTTTGTCTTTTGTATTGAGACGCTGACTTTTCTATTGTTTGGAACCGAGCTCAAACCAAATTCGAACCTGATTCCCGAGGAACTCCCGCGCGGGACGCTCACTTCTCTATTGTTTGGAATCGAGTGCGAACCTTGTTCGAAGTGTTTTTTCGAGGAATTCCCGCACGACGCGCCCACTTTTCTATTGTTTGGAACCGCCTGTGGACCCTGGTTCGGAATTGATTTTGGGAAATTCCCGCACGAAGCGCTAACTTCTCCATTGTTAGGAGAAAAACTGACTTTGGACCCTGGTTCGAACCTGCCTTTCGAGGAAATCCCGCACGAGACGCCCACTTTTCTATCATTTGGAAGCTTGCTTCTACTACTTTTCTACTGCTTGGAACTACTGTTGAGGAAGCTCCGCGCGGTTCGCCGTTTTGTAACCGCCGTCCCCTTTAGCAGAACAACGATTGCACTGGGGTTGCAAGCCCGAAGTTGCGCGCCCCTCGCTTGCACAGCTCCACCCCCCGTCACATTGTACCAAGCTCCGCGCGCCTAACGGGGCACCTCCGATCTACGCTTCGCCTGCGAGTCGAAACTAGGTACACAGGCACACATACAGACACACAGACACAGACACACAGACACAGGCACAGCCACAGCCACACACACAGACACAGACATATCGTATACGCACACATACGCATACACATACACATGCATATACACATACACATGCACATACACATACACGCACACGCAAACCCACTCGCACACGCAGGCACACGCGCATGCGCACGCTGACACACACGCACACGCACACGCAGGCCTCCACATCCACACACACATACACATACACACATACACACATTCACACATACACATGCACATACGCATACGCATACACATACATATACATATACACATACACATACACATCAACGTGCACATACACATACACCCACACAAGCACGCACACGAACACGCACACGCACATGCTGACGCACACGCACACGCACACGCCCACGCACACGCACACACACACACACACGCGCCCACGCACACACATACACGCCCGCGCAAGCACACACGCCCACGCACACACACACACATACACGCACACGCACGCGCACACGCACACGCACACGCACACACACACACATACACGCACACGCACGCGCACACGCACACGCACACGCTCACGCACACGCACACGCACACGCTCACGCACAGACACATGCACACGCACACACACTCAGACACACACACACACACACCACGTACATACACACGCACACACGCACACATGCTCACAGACACACAGACACACACAGACACACACACAGACACACCCAGACACACACACACAGACACACACAGAGAAAGACAGACACACACAGACACACCCAGACATACACAGACACACACAGACACACACACAGGCACGCACAGACGCAAAGACGCAAAGACACACAGACACCATGCACCTACACACCCATACACCAATGCACACAGACACACAGGCAGACACACAAACACACAGACACACAGACACCCAGACGCAGAGACGGACACACACACAGAAACACAGAAACACACACATACATACAACCACACACACACGCACACACGCACACAGACACACAGACACACAGGCAGACACACAGGCAGACACACAGACACACACAGACACACACAGAGACAGACAGACACATACAGACACATCCAGACATACAGAAACACACACAGTCACACACAGGCACACACAGACACACAGACACCATACACCCATACACCCATACACACGGACACAAGACAGACACACAGACACACAAGCACACAGACACCCAGACGCAGAGACGGACACACATACACACATGCACACAAACACACACAAACAAGTTCACACACGAACGCACACAAACACACACACAAACACACACGAACACACACACAGATACACACACACACGCTGAAATCAGCAGACAGGTTGCAATGTGACTTTCTCTCACGCCTTTGTGGCCCTTTGCATGAAACGGAGCTGTCTTCTGAGCCATCAGGTGCTGGCTCGTGTGGCCTTGCTACCCTCGCCGTGATACAACGGCATGGCTGCTACCAACATCTGGGCAGAGCCTGCCGTGATCTGGAAAACGACTGGCACACCCCCTCCCCTTCCCACGCAAGCATTTCGACTGTTCCCTCCCGTCTGCACCCTGATGGCACCGAACCGACCAAACCGCACTCCTGCAGTCAAATCGAAAGCTATTTCGCGGGTGCCGCGGCGCCAACCAGCCCGACAGGCAAGCTCTCCCCCGGCACACCCTTCCTCTCCCGACCCGATGCCAGACGGGACTCGACCCCTGCCTGAGTGGAGGAGGGAGGCGAGCAAGGACGGGAGGGGGAGGGGAAGGGGGAGGGGGAGGGGGAGGGGGGCACAGTGCGACCAGATTACAGGGGTGGCAAGGACGCAAGACCCTGGGCCGCCTGCTTCGAAGCCGAAGCTGGTGGCCCATGGCTCAGGGTTAGGACGAGCCGAGAGGCAAGGATGCAAGGGCACTCTCGGGAAGCTGCTCGTCCTTATGAACATCTTTGACTGCACTTGTTGGCAATGCGGCTCCCGCCCGAGCTGGCGCCACCGTGCGCACTGGCTCGTCCTCCCTACTCATCGGCCTCGACCTCCCGCCTCCTGGTTGTTTGTTATCGCGAATTCTGCTGGCCTGTTCCAACGGATTCCAGTGGATGTTCTTAACCATTTCGGTGCTGACGAATTTCGGCGCCAAACTCAAACGTGTGTCCCGTCTACATCCTCATCCTCCTTTTTCTTCCCCTCATGACCCCCCTCCTCTTCTTCTTCTCACCGTCGACGTTGACTTCGTCTTCTTCTGGGCGACGTGGTTCAGCGGATCAACAGTTCCAGTGCAGCGCATACTTCCTTCCTCTTCGGGGAAGGGCTTACCCCTCCATCCCCAGGGTCTGGAACAGGCAGGGGACGTGAGGCCCTCGATCGTCCCATACCGCTCTCGATGGCCCCAAGATGGCCTCCATTACGGCCGCAAGAGGTCCCATGACAGCCACACGATGACTCGAGGTGGCCCCGGACCCCCGAAAAGATGCCACACGAGTCCAAGAGGGTCCAAAGAGGGGCCCCAAAAAGGCCTCTTACCAAACCTCCGACGTCGTGTTCTTATCACAATCCAGACCATTCCCCAGGACCAGTCTACCATCCCGAGTAGTTGTTTGACTGTCTGGGGCCGGGTTACCGGCCGCCAGAAACAGAAACCTGTCAAAAACCTTCCGTCGTGTTTTTCTGGAGCACCGCGAAGAGAGGTCCGGGTTTTACTCCAAGGGGGGTCCCAAAAGGGTGCGGCCACATCATTGGCAGAGCCAGGTGGGCCCAAGAAAACACTGTGCAGTGCATGGCCTCCAGGATGGCAGGCCCAGACACCTGGCGCATCGATTCTCTGAGACGCGGGCCCCCGACCTCTCGACCTCTCGACCCTCATAAGGCAGCCTCTTCCTGTTTCCCTCCTCCTCCCTTCTTCGGCCTCCTTGCTCCTTCTCCTCTCCTTGTGTGCCTCTCCCCCAGGAGAGCGGGCTTCACCTGCGGCTCTGAGTGGAGGATGATCCGTCTTCCTGAGAGGATCCGCAGAACGCTACGTCACCACATATGTGCCGAATGTCACCTCACATGGACCGCACCCCACAGGGAGCTCCACCGACGGTGAAGAGCCAACGCGTGCATGCCGCCTCACCGCTCCACCGACGGTGAAGAGCCAACGTGTGCATGCCGCCGCAGCGTCCATGGCGGCACACCCGTGATCTGGATTATGAGTTGGGGGGGCCCTTCGGGGTCTCGCGGCGTGTGGGGGCGAGAGCTCTGGAGGTGTTAGGGTTCCCAGGCCTCACAGGGCTCATGGGGCACCATGAGGCGCCATAGTGGTCGTAGGGCTTGTGGGGCCGACAGGCCTCATATGGCTGATAGGGGTATGGCCTCTCGGGGCTCTCGTGGGGCTCCTTTTGAAGCTCATTTGGGCTGTCTGGCGGCCCTCCTGGGCCGTCCCGGGACCCTCTTGGGGCCCCCAGAATACGCCCAGGAGGCCTCCAGAAGGCCTTAAGAAAGCCTGAAACAACTTTTGTGAGGCCCCCAGAGGCTCTCCAAGGAGGAGCCTCCGCAAAAAAGAGCTGCGGAGGATGGGGAGAATGCGCAAGGCCTGGCGAAAATGAAGAAACACATAACATTATTTTAGCGGCGATGCCGGAAAAGGCAACAAAGAGTTATCGCTAAATTGTCGGCTTGACCTTCCTGCTATTCCGCCTGCACACCAAACTTCAAGGACCAAGGTTCATGGCGCGAAGTGCCAATGCAGTTTTGTAGATCTCTCTCTCTCTATATATATATATATGTATGCACGCACGGATGCATGTCTGTATATGTGTGTATGTATTTATATATCTATATATATATACACACAGACACCCTCCGAAGAACTTGGCACGTACTTTCAGTCAGGGCGCCGGTGTACAAAATCGCTGGCTCTCAGTGGTGATTTCTACACCGCCACCCTTCCCTGAGGCCCAGGAGCAATCCATTGGAGGGTGTCCGTGTGCGGCAGGCTCGCGTCGTGCCGACCCTGGCGTTGGTTGTTCCTGCCACCGCGGGGATCTTTCACCCTTGAACGATCGGCCATTTCCGAGACGTCCGCCTCGTTCCACGTCGAACGATTCTGGGCTTACCAGCCTCGAACGTATCCCTATCCCTAAGATTGACACGCCAAAGGGCGATGACAATCTCAGGGATCCGCCCTCAAAAAATCAGGGAATCCCTAAGATTGGCATCGTGAGGAGGAGATGCCCAGCATGGGGATAGGGATATGCTCCAGGCTGGTAGTGGGTCGCCCGCAGCGTTCAAGGCTGAACGCCGCGGGCGGGGTCGCCGCCGGTCGACACGACGCGAAGCCACCGTACAATCGGGGCCTTGACCTAAGGAACCCTAAATAAGAAACGAGGCCCCTTGTTTCCACAAGTTAAACTTCGATTTCCGATCGAAAACATAAGGAAAACCTGAGGCAAGCTGCGAAACACTTAAGGAACGCGGAGCCCCTCCCCAACGAAAAGGGTTCCTTCTTCAGGGCCCCGACTGTACGCACACCCTTCTGTGGCGGGCTCTCCACGCTCGTGACACCTCTCGCGGGGTGCCCGGCGGCCGCAGCAGGGGCGCGGGTAGCCCGGACAGCCCAGGGGGCGGGTGGGCACCCACCGAAAGGGGCCCAGGGGCACACACAAGCAGGCAGACACACACACACATCGCAGGGCTCCCCACCTTTGTACAAATTTCCTGGATTTTCGTCTTCGCCCCCCCCCCCCCCCCCCCACAGTTTCCCACATCTTCCCGGGAATCGACGACTGTGCCTGTATGTGTGTGTGTGTGTGTGTGGTGTGTGTGTGTGTGTGAGTGTGTGTATGTGTGTGTGTGTGTGTGTGTTTTTCCTCTCCCGAATCACGCGCAACTATCCGAGGCTCGGACCGCCCATGACTTCGACGAGGCTGCCCGGCGAAGCCGTGCCAGGCCCGCCCCGGAGCTTCGGTAGGTCTCGCCATCGCTCGGGCGTCCCTTCCCCGTGCCTCTTTCGGTCTCGTGTTTCTCTTCTTTCGCCGGAGGAGCCGGGATGCTCCTCGCCGAGAGGGCTTCTCTTCTTCGGTCTCGTGCTTCTCTTTCTCGCCGGGTGAGCCAGGATGCTCCTCGATGCTCCTCGCCGAGATAAGCATGCACACGCCCGAGCGGTGCCAAGAGGTGCGTGCCGTGGCGACCGTCGGCCGCCTCGGGGCCGCCGGCTGCCTTCCGCCCTTGCACGCCCGCGCGGGCCGCCGCCGCGTCGACGCGGCACGAGCCTGCACCCCTATCGCCTCCTCGTCCTCCTCGTCCTCCTCCTCCTCCTGCTCCTCCACGTCCTCCTCCCCCTCCTCCTCCTCCTCCTCCTCCTCCTCCTCCTCCTCCTCTTCCTCGTCCTCCTCGTCGTCCTCCTCCTCCTCGCCCTCGTCGTCCTCGCCCTCGTCGTCCTCGTGCGCCCCGTCCTCGCCGATGGCCGCCTCGCCCTCGCCATTCGTCGTCCTCGCGCGTCCAGCCCCCTCGGCTCGAGGCGCTGATGTTTGTGAGGCCCCTGTTCGTCTGAGGTCGGGCATGTCCTCCCACAGGCGGATCTCTAAATTAGTCCGAAACGCTCAAGAAGAGTGAAGAGTAGACGACAAAATCGTCCCCAGCCTTTTTTGTGAGCTATCTTTGAATATTCCTCCTGTAGAGGGACATGCCCGACTTAATCCTATCACCTCCGCCCGATGCTTGCGCGGCCCCTGTTCGGCAAACGCGCCAGGCTCCGTCACTCCCGGCGCCTGCTGCCAGGGCTGCGGCCACGGCGGCCCACCGTGCTGGGGGGGGGGGTGAGCGGTCAGCGATGGGTGATGATCTAACGTGAGGAAGGATCGAAGGGGGGAAAGCTCCCGACGTCGTGATCTGTCTGGAACCTCAGATCCTGACGACGCAAGAAATGGTGACTGCCAATTTTCCGTAGTTTTCGACCCCTGGGGGCCCTTTACTGGTCTGGGGACCTTCCGAAAGCGGCTCAGGGTGAAAACCCGGCCCTTCCTGGCTGGGTGTTCGCGCGGGCATGCAGACTCGACGCTGGCGCTGTTCACAGGGACGGAGGCGGGCCAGTGCGAGGGTTTGGGGCCCCTTCCACGGCCCCCGTTCTGGCCGAGCTCGGCGCGCTCCCCCAGAATGCGGCCTGGGGTAACTCTGGAGCATCTCAACTCGAGTCTGATCGGCCGAGATTTCTGCCTGCGCCCGCGTGGGGACGGGTGCAGTCGGGGGTGATTGGAGAGGACACGCGAGAGGGCACAGGGCTCTTCCGAGGGCCACATGGCAGTAAATAGTGTAGAGGGTGCGGGTCGCGAAACACAGGACACAAGGGTACCCTTGCTTGGCTGGGTCGACGTACTAATCAACCTCGACTGTATACAATCACGCTGCTGCCAGATGGAGCGCTCAGTTCGGAACGAAGCCGTTTTTGGCATCAACAGCGCCTGGGTGCACGAGGAACGCTGGGACAACAACCACGCAAGGGCCTAAGGCACAGCGAGGCCCCTCCCGAACCCGAGCAGTTCCTTTCTTTTCCGCGTCTCGACAATATACTGGGAGCGTTGGGCAACTAGAACGCCCGCAAAGCAGCACCAACTCGCAATCAAAATCAACCCAACCACAAGGGCCGCGAAACACCAACATGTCGCACATTGCGGAATCGAGCTGCGGATCTATCCGCTGTGGCGGCAAGGCGCTTAGCTCCAGGCGGTTCAAACCTAAACCAGAACAAAACTGACTTTGGCAGACAAACTCGACTGGGAAGGCGGAATCATGTTCTCCCTCGCATTGTCTTTCCCACTGCCTCCTGTCCTATACTATCAACAACACGCGCTGCAGGTCCAGCCAGCCTGGAGTCTGGCGCTCGGCGCAGCACAATAAACGAGTCTGGAATTGCGAAACATCGGTTTCGGATCCAACGAGGTCGCGAAACGACATTGAAAATAACGGTGCTCGGCTCGCTTGCTCCTCCTGGTCGTCCTCCTTACCATGGTCCCTTCCAACCACTGGCGCCCCTTATGGAAGGCAGCACCCCCCTCCCTGGATGACACGTGGGAACGCCCTCGGAGCCTGGGCTGGGACGGCAGACATGGCCCAGAGCGGTGTGCTGATGTGCTGGACCATGCAGGGCTACGCAAGAAAGGCCACTCCAGGTTTCGTGAATCCAGAGAGCCCTTTTCAATGGCCCGCGGGGTGGCAGCCTTGCTTTTGCCACCCCTACCCGAGGGGAAATTACCAGCCTGGAACATATCCCTATCCCTATGCTGGGCACCTCCTCCTCACGATGCCAATCTTAGGGATTCTCTTATTTTTTGAAGGCGAATCGCTAAGATTGTCATCGCCTTTTGGCGTGTCGATCTTAGGGATAGGGATACGTTCGAGGCTGGTAAGGAAATACCCCGCGGGCCGTCGGACGCTGTCCTGGCGAGCCAGGGCCTCTACGACGGCTCCCCGCGCGCCTCTGCGATGCTGGCTCTCGGGCGCAGGCGGGGGCTGCCTCGGGGGCCTCCCCTCCCTCCAAGCTCCCTTCCCCCTTCTTCACTTAAGGGCCTCCTGGTGCTCGACATGGCGATTTGTGTTTCCCCTCTGCGACCTCTGGGCCCTCTCTGGTCATCGTCGCTGCGTCCCCGCCGTCGGCGTTGCTGGCCGCCGCCAGCGCCAGCGCTGGCGCAGGCGCCAGCGCCGGCGTCGGGGGGGGGGGTGGGGGAGGGGGGGGGCTCAGGGGGGAGCTCCTGCATCATTCCTCTCTTCTCTCTTCCCGTTGAAGGGTGCGAGCTCTGCGCTCTCCTGACGGTCGGGGTTTCCCATGGGGCTGGACTGACCTTCCTGAGGTACGTTCGAACTCATGGCGCGGAACAACTGGAATTCATGACATGCTCGTCTGGGTTTGGTCGTCTGAAGGTCCTCAAAGAGCTCTCTTGCGGCATCTTGGGCCCGTCTTAGGCTCGTGCTGTCTTGGAACTGTTTGGGGGCCCATTGGAGACCCTTTAGTGGCATCTGGGGGCGCCGGAGGGCCATCTTGGAGCTCTCTTGGGGCCGCTCTGAGAGCTCGTTGGTTTCTCTGGGGCCCTCGGGGAACCATCTTGCACGGAAGCCAGGGACTGCGAACCGTATCCACAAACGTTCGAAATTCCTGGCATGCTTGGCTGATGTTTGTCTTCTGGTGGTCCTCGTGGGGCTCTTTTCTGTGGCCTCCCGAGGCCGTCTTGGGGTCGTCTTTGGCGCCTCCTGGGCTCTCGCGGAGCCGTTTGGGGAGCGTCGGGGCCGCCCTCGAGGCCCTCGGAGCCTCCCCCGGGGGGGCTCCGAAGGGGGGCCTCCGGGAAAGGGGGCTCACGTGTCTCCCGTGCCCCCCGTGTGCGGGGGTTCGGGGCCAGGGTCCTCCAGGGCCGCCGGTCGCGTATCTGACGGATGGCACGAGGCAGCGCCTGCGGTGTGGCGCAGTGGCCAGTGAGAGCGCATGGGGAGCAAGGGGAGCAAGCAGGGGAGCAAAGGGATGCCACAACGATGGTCGCCAGGGGAGGCCGAAGGCGTACTTGCTGGGCCCTGGCAAGGCCAATGAATCTCTGCCCCTGGTGCCCTCACTCTTCCCACGCTCGGTTTCTTCCCAGCCCTCCTTAGTTGGGTATTCGTTTTGAATAGAGCACTGCGGCCGCGTCCTTCTCCTCCCGCCTCCCGCCTCTCGCTTTCCTCTGGTCTCCTCTTGTCTTGTGCGTACCTCGTGTGTGTGTGTGTGTGTGTGTGTGTGTGTGTGCGTGCGTGCGTGCGTGCGTGCGTGCGTGTGTGTGTGTGTGTGTGTGTGTGCATCCTGGCTGCGGTACCTCTTGTGTGTGCATCTTGCCAAGGAGCTGCGATCTGCGACACTGTCGCCACTTTCGAGGGCTGCCCTTGGGTCCTGCGGAGTGAGGCACCGCGGGGATCTGAGCGAGACCTCGCCGTCCCTGGGAGGCTGCGATCTGCGACGCTGTCGCCACTTTCGAGGGCTGCTGGTGGGTCTCCAGCGGAGTGAAGCACCGCGGGGATCTGAGCGAGACCTCGCCGTCCCTGGGGGGCTGCGATCTGCGACGCTGTCGCCACTTTCGAGGGCTGCTGGTGGGTCTCCAGCGGAGTGAAGCACCGCGGGGATCTGAGCGAGACCTCGCCGTCCCTGGGGGGCTGCGATCTGCGACGCCGTCCCTGGGGGGCTGCGATCTGCGACGCTGTCGCCACTTTCGAGGGCTGCTGGTGGGTCTCCAGCGGAGTGAAGCACCGCGGGGATCTGAGCGAGACCTCGCCGTCCCTGGGGGGCTGCGATCGGCGACGCTGTCGCCATTTTCGAGGGCTGCTGGTGGCTCGTCAGGCACCGCGGGGATCTAAGCGAGACCTCGCCGTCCCTGGGGGGCTGCGATCTGCGACACGGTCGCCACTTTCGAGGGCTGCTGGTTTGTCCTGCGGAGTGAGGCACGGCGGGGATCTGAGCGAGACCTCGCCGTCCCTGGGGGGCTCTGGAGAGCTGCTGCGGGATACGTTAGGCGCAACGGGCGCGTGGCACAACCAACGGGGGTTAGATGTGGAACAGACAATCTGCCGGGCGATGGCCATAACGTTGCGCCTACATGTATCCCGCGGGGGCTCTCAAGAGCTGCTGTGGGATACGTTGGGTGCAACGGGCGCATGGCACAACCAACGGGGGTGATTTGTTATTACGTAGCCCATAGATCTTGATCTGGGGCCTGCGAGCCTTCCGATTGCTGCTCGCAAATTCACATGCGTCCATGTTACGTCATCGCCCCCGTTGTAGCAATCCTGATGTACTTATGCCCCGCATTGTGCAAGGGTTGGGTACGCCGCCAGGGTCATGTTTCTTTTTTACCATATGTATTTGTGTGTATATATACACTTACACCAGATTTTACCGACTCGCTTCGCTTCGCCTTCGGAATCTTGTTCGCATGGCGCCAGCGAGGCGCGCCGCGACTGGTAGTCGCCAGCACCGCAGTGTGTGTGTGTGTGTGTTTCGGCAATGGGGCCCATGGGGCACACAAGGCTGATAGAACCCATGGGCTCCTCGGGGTCAGAGGCCGGGCTTTCCGCCGCCACTGGGGCCCAAAATCGAAGCGCAAATGTGGAAGAGGGGTACTTCCGGCAGCGTGGCTCCTGGGGATCATGAGGTTCCAAGAGCCCGCAGCCGTACTTGAGCTCAGAGGGTTCCTCGGGCTGACGAGCTCGTTGGGCGTGGAGGCTCGTAGGGCCCCTGGCATCACAGACGCCACTGGCTCTTGAGCCCAATACTCCATAGAGCGGGTCGTCTTACTGGGCTTGTGAGGCTCAGGGGGCTCGTCATTGTGCTGATTGGACCCAGTAGGCTCATCAGGTTCAGAACGGGTCGTCGGGGTCACAAGGCTCATCGAGCCGACGGGGGTCACAGGGCTCATAGGGCTTTTGAGTTTCTTAGGGGTCGCGCGAGCCGCGGGGCCCCTGAAGCTGATAGGCATCATAGGGCTCGTAGGCCTTACGAGGCCCAGATGCGACATACGGCCCACAGGGCCCACTGCGCCGACACGGCTCATAGGGCTCGTCGGGCTCATTGGTCTCACAGGGCTCAAATGGCCCATAGAGCCCGTAGGACTTATAGGGCTTCTAGGGCTCATAGGCTCAGAGGCGAGATTGGGCTCATAGGGCTCATGATGCTTGTAGGGCCCATGGGGGTCACATGGCTCGTCGGGGGAAACTTGCTCATAGGGTTTGTGGGACTCATGGGGCTCGTGGGGCATAGGGGGCCTCATAGGGCTCGTAGGCCTCATAGGGACCATGGTGCTCGTCTGCAGATCATGTTTTTGGTTTTGCGTAAGACAGCAGATCAGGCGGAAGGGAGAAAGGGAGAGAGAGAATGGGAAAGGTGGGAGAGAGGGGGGATAACGAGGTGGTTACCGGGTTCGTAGGTCTCGTAGGGCTGATGAACTCACTTGGCCCATGAGCTCGTAGGGATCGAAACGCTCGTAGAGCTCATGGCAGAGGTGTCTCGGGGTTTTCTTGGAGAGCTCACGGGGCTCATAAGGCTCATAAGGGGTCGCACGGGTGACAGGTTTTGGAAGGGTCGTATGGGCTCATGAAGAGAGAGGGATGAGGGGTCTCGTAGGGCTTCGAAGGCGTACGAGGTGGTGAGGAGCAAATGGTCGCACGGGCGATCTGGGGCGCGTCTTGGGCCGTCTTGGAGCGTCGGGAGGTCGAGAAGTTGTTGATGCTAAAAATATACGTTCTACGAGCGGAATTTTGCGATTGTGGCCTCTTGGGGCTCCCTTGGGAGGCCTCTTGGGGTGTCTTGGGGGCTGTGTTGGCGCCTCCTGGGGCCTTTTGTGTGCCTCTTGGGGAGCTGGGCCTGTTGGGAGCCTTTGTGGGAGTCCTTGGTTCCTCTCGGGGGCCGTTTTGGGGCTCCTTTGGGCCGTCTTGGGCGCCCCTTGGGCCGTCTTGGGGCGATCTGGGGAGCGTCTTGGGCCGTCTTGGAGCGTCGGGAAGGTGCGACGTTGTTGATACCGAACATATACGTAGTACGACGGGAATTTGACGATTTGTTGGCCTCTTGGGGCTCCCTTGGGCGGCCTCTTGGGGTGCCTTGGGGCGAAAAGGGGGCCTCTGGGACCGTCTTGGGTCCATCGTGGACGTCTCGTAGCCCTCTTGGCCCAACTTGGGGCACTCTGGAAGCCATCGGGAGCCGTCTTGGGTCCTCCAGGCGCGCTCGGGACCCAGCGGACGCCAGCGGGCCGAAGGTCTAGTCGGATCAGATTTCTATGTAGATAGGCACTCATGGTATTAGTACAGCTATATATATGTATATGTATCAAAACGTTGGTATACTTATACTGCTCTCTCCTCCTCCCCTTCTTGATTCATCTCTCCCAACCTCCCTCCGCTCCCTCTCCCTCCACATCTCACTCTCTCTTTCCCTCTCTCAATCTCTCTCCCTCTCTCTCCCTCCTCCCCCGTCTGTAGCTACCCGCTCCCTGTCTCCATTGTCGCCGCATGCTAGAACTCATGCCACAATCTGCAAAAAACGCGGATCCTGTTGACGGGAGTAGCTGCGCGCAGGCTCGCGACTGCCCCCATGCGCCGCACGCTGGCGAGAATGTTTGCACTTGAACTGCTTGTGCCATGCGGCGTCCCTTGCCGCAAATGTGCCCCTCCTCCCCGCACGCCTTTACGGAGCCCGCTGCAGACTCTACGTATCCAAATCGCCTGGCTGCCAACCGCTGCCTATCATTCCCCAAGCAGTGCTTGCACTTCGGGATGTTTCGCTCCCGTTGCATTTCATCACATCATCTTTCTGGATTTTCGCCCGGTCGCCGTCGGTGGGCGCCCCGTGCGCTGGTGGCGTTTTCCGGACTTTCGCCGGGTCGCCGCCCATCCCAGACCCCCTCGAGCAATGAAAGAATCACGACGGGAAGTTTTCGCAATGTTCGGCTTCTGGGGGCCCTTACCGTGCCTAAGGACCCTCAAAAATGACTCAGGATGAAAAGGCCGGTCCCAGGGAATAGGTCGAAACCTCTGGGGGTGGACATCATGAACAAGTCATGACGTCGGGGGTCTGGGATGGGCGGCGACCGTGAGATTCGCGAGCAAGTCCCGATGGGTACCTGCAGGCACGGCCTGCACGAGTTCTGCGCAGAAGCTGCGGGTGGGTGCGTTGGGGTGCTGGCACGAGCACGGGAGGTCGTCCCGCGCGGATGCCCACAAGAAGTTCTCGCTGCTGAAACAAAATTAGGATATGCCCCCTTCCCGAGGCTGGACTTCTCCGCCCCGCTCCGCGTATTGATCGCCCATGTTGATTATGCACGGTCGCCCATCCCCCAAGCAAAATCTTCCCAGCCAAACCGGTGACGCCCATCCCCGCCACTATCTCGACCCCCCCCCCCGGCCACCATCTCCTGCAAATGATACTCTGCGGTGCGCGTGCGTGAATCTCACGATCCCACCAGCCATTTAGGGCGTAGGTTGTTTAGGGCGTTTCCTCGTATGTCGTCTATCTCCCCCTGTTGCTCTCTCCCTCCTCCGGGGAGGGGCTTGCGTGTCCGACCGGTGGGTCCTGGTCGGTCCCTGCGGTGGCGGCGGGTCGTGCTCTGGACGTGCTGGTGGCGCATCAGGAGGGCGAGAGGAGTGGAGCGTGTTGTGCTCGTCTCGGGTCAACTTTCTCCAATTCTCGTCGACGCCCGTCCTCCATGGGGCCCTCGTCGAAGCCCGTAGGGTCTCGAACTGTGGGTTGAACGAGGTCTGGTGCTCCTTGAGGTCAACTCCCTGGTGGAGGTGCTAGGTCTGGATAGAGCAGTTTTCCTATGTGTCAGTAGGACAGTCTTTCTGTCCGTATACCATCCTTCGACAGTTCTTCGAATGCTATGTATACAGCTCTGTCAGACTGGTGTCAGCAACAACTTTGGATGCTTGTGAAACGGTAGCTGGTGTTGAATAGCGTGAATCATAGAACGTCGCCCAGCACCTCGATCATTGTCCCTACCACGGCATGGTATCCCACCATCAGATCCATGGAACATGCTGCGTATACAGCTCAATGTGTAGTACCATGTACCATCACCTTCTGGAAGGATTCCTGATCGACATCCTCCAACTTGAGCTCCTCGTAGACCTTGGTTGGGTCTATGTCGGATTCTTCTCTAGAGCTCTGCGCAACTCGAATCCGACATTTGTCATTCTAACCGCCGCTTCATCGGAGTCACGTTGTTTTCGGCGCTCAATCCTATTTCTAATTTGCCCCTTCGAGATGTAGTGGATGATGCAGGCTTGCTGGTCGGCTGTTCAGTCGCGGAGCCAGGTTACCACGTGGGGGTGGTGCCTCAGAATTGCTGAAGGATGCCCAGCTATAACATCTACATCGATCGATCCTTCAGTGGGGGCCAGCGATTTGAATCGCCAGTCTCTTCGCGCGTCGTTTTTCACAATGGCAAAAGGTATAATGCTGGTGCGTCGTTGTAATGCTCATCGGGATTTGAACTGGGCGTTGATTTGTGGAGGGAAGAGTGGGAGAAGAGCAGGAGGAGGAGGAGGAGGAGGAGGATGTGGAGGAGGAGGAGGAGGAGGAGGAGGAGGAGGAGGAGGAGGAGGAGGAGGAGGAGGAGGAGGAGAGGAGAAGGGGAAGGAGCAGGAGTAGGAGGAGGAGGAGGAGGAGGAGAAAGAGGAGAAATACATAATGGGAGATGGGGAGGGGCGGGATGGAGTGGTTGAGGAGGAGGCGTGGCGCTGGCCATCCCCAACGAGGACCCGACACGCAGGAGGGTCGGGAACTTACAGCATGGGATTCAATGTTGTTTGCCCCCGAAGCTTTTCGGCCTCAGGTCGCCTCGAGAAGACGTCATCTCAGAGAGCCTCAGAGCCCACGACGGCTTGAAGAGGACCCCCAGACGGTCCCACGACTGAAGCTTGAGAATCTTCGGAGGTCCACAGGGGGCTCCACGACAGCCCCGAGACCCGCCAGGGCGTCCCCGAGATGTTGCAGCCGATCCTCCTCGGGAGAGCTCGGTAGACATCGCGCTCCAAAAAGGCCCGCGGCCCCCGATGGGCCATCGGGGGCCCCCCAGCGGGCCCCCAACATACCTCATAGAGACCCCCCTGGAAACCTCAACAGAAACCACCAGGAAGTCTCCCAGAAGCCCCCCAAGGGGGACGAGGGGAGGAGCCAGTCCAGACAGGGCACTGGACTGGAGCGGATCTGAGACTCAGCCTGCTTCTTGCTGTGCTGTTGCGCTGGCACGGGGGGAGGAGGAGGAGCAGGAAGAGGAGGAGGAGGAGGAGGCGAGGAGGAGGAGGAAGGTGGACGAGGGGGAGGGGGAGGAGGAGGGGGGGGGAGGAGGAGGAGGAGGAGGAGGAGGAGGAGGAGGAGGAGGAGGAGGAGGAGGAGGAGGAGGAGAAGCGGTGTTCGCCGCAAGAAAATGATTCAATGTGGCACAAGTTTCTCCGCCGGAGAGTACCGCGTGGGCCCCAGGCAGGCCAAGGCAAGGATGGCAACGGGTGGACGCGATTGGGAGCAGACGGGAGCCACCGAAGCATGCGGGGGAATGGCAGCGCTCCGGCGACGGGCGAGGACAGCCAAGGGACGGAGGCAAGCGACGGAGATCGGCGGCACGCACGGGCTGCGGGGGAACGCAAGGGACAAGGCGTGACAGAAGAGCGAACGAGAGAACGAACGAACCACCTCGGCAGACAATTGCCCGGGCCGAAATCAAACCAAGTGGGTTAGTTGAGCAGGGACTGACCGTCCCGACATTCCGATTGGCCTCGCGCGAAATCTTCGTAGAACCCACATATGTTCTAAAAACAAAAACAAGGTTCTGAGAACGTGCCCGATGTGTTCAAACAAGACAATCTCTGGTCTAAAGGACTCTTCGTGCAGGCCGCAGAAAAAGGTTTTTATAACATTCTTTCATGGGCCTATGGACAGGCCGGGCCGCCTAGCCACTGCTTGGGTGAGGCCATGGCCTCCTGGATGTGGCACGTATGACGCATGCAACCAGGCATCGGGACGTGCCTCGTCGGCACGCGGCCGAGGACGCGCGGGCATGCGAGGGCGGCCGTGGGCAGAGTCGCGCGAGGTGGGGGCGAAGCTGGCGTTAAGTCGGGCGTGGCCCCCTCTGCAGGCGGATTTTCGACGAAACGTTAGAAATAGTAAAAACACAATCAACACAAGTCATAAAATGCTCAACAATCGTCCCCAGACGATTTTGGACAATTTTTGAATATTCCTCCTGTGGGGGGGGGGGACAGGCCCGACTTGAAGCTGGCGGCGCGCGATGGCCGCTCAGGCACGGTCGGGGGCGGGAGCCGAGCCGGGCGGAGCCGGCGGGGCGCGAGGGCCAGGCTTCGAGCAGGGGTCCGACCACAGAATGGACGTGCCCCAAAATTTGAAGTGTTCGTCGGCCCTACAAGAAGGAAGTACGTCGAATGGATGCAGGCGGACGAGCATTCGACTACAGAATGGACTGCAGATGGACGAGTAGGGGGTCGACCACAGAATGGACTTACCCCAAAATTGAAGTGTTCGTCGAACCTACAGAAAGGAAACACGTCGAATGGATGGAGATGGACGAGCATTCGACTATTTGTTCGTAGATTCGGCGAGGAAATCAATTCTGGGATACACCGATTCTGTAGTCGATCTCCTACTCGACGGCTGGGGACGGCTCGGGGCGAGGCAGGGACGGGGAGGAGGTTGGCGGCATGCGAGGGCCAGGGGGGGCGGACGGGGACGGCGCCGAATGAAGGATATCTGCGGCACGCGAGGGCCGTGGACAATGCCGAGCAAAAGAAAACGCTTGCTTGCTGTGCTTCAGCTTCGCACCGTCATCTGCGGCTGAGGTCTCTCGGTCTGTGCCAAGTTCGGTGCCGCTCAATTCAGTGTATTGCCACCGTTCGCCCGAGATCTGCCGCCACCATCCTTGAACCGCCCTGGCCCCGAAACGGCGGTGCAAAGCAGTGCCCGCTATGTCAAACATCCCTTGTATGACCTGAAGCTGCAAGGCGCGTGCGCACTCATGCCAGCGCGTGAAGAAGAGGGGCCTCTGGACTCCGCTCTGGACGCCCTGAACGCTGCGCATGATGCTCCTGATCGGGCTGATGGACATCCTGCGGCGGGGACCGCCTCTCTCTATCTCTCTCCCTCCCTCTCCCTCCCCCTCTCTTGCCGAACGACCCCTCTTTGGACGACGACGCTGGACCCTCAAAGTCGGAGCTCGTGGCTAGATGCCTCCCGATGGTTCGCTGCCTTGGTCCCAAACCGGGTCAATGTGTCGACCGCCCTCCCGCAACATCGCCTGCGCCGGCCAGCACTGCCCGTGACACCTGCAGACACGGACAAGCACGAAGGGCTGCTCTGCCCTCGAGCATGCCGAGCTCGATCGGCGAGCCCGCCGCGAGCGCCGACCTCCTGTCGCAGCGAGAGCTTCAGCGCGACAGGGGCCTCTTGTCCAGTGGACCCCGAGAGCCGCGCAACTTTTTGGCGTTGCGCGGACATGAAGAGCGATGCTTGTTGCGTCCTGGCAGGGGGAAGCGCGGAACTTTCTCATTCCGACGGTGTCACCGAACATTTTGCAGCTGCGCGCAAACACTCGGACTCAAACAAGTAAACACGCGCACACAATGTCTCTCTCTCTCTCTCTCTCTCTCTCTCACCCACACGCGCGCGTTCACGCGCGCTCGCAGGGGCGCACACATCCACACACTGTGCTATCCGGGTGCTGTCCCGACGACGGCCTAGACCCGGCGAGCACGCTGCGCATCCCCTCGGCCCCTCACGTCTCCCACACGACGAGTGCACCCTCGGGTCCTGCACACACCTTTTGCGTCGGCGGTAAGGCAGAGTGGCTGCGCTGGCGATGAAGCGTTAGTGCGACACACACATACACAAAACGCGAACTAAGCCGCGGTGCACGGGAGAGGGGGAGAAGAGCCCGGCGCGGGCGGGAGGGAGACGAGTCCAGCACGCGCACACTCACCCGTGCAGGGCGGGCATCTCGGGCCGGACGAAAGGCGGGGATTGGGAAAGGGGGGGTTACGAAATTTGCTGCATGCAGCTGGTTTCGGCCTCACCGAGGGACCCATTCCTCGATGCTCAGCCGCCTCCGGCGCCCGGAGGCGCCAGGAAACTCAGCTACGTGGAGCTGATTCTCCCCCCCCCCCCTTTGCTGTCCACCCCTTTCGCCCGACCCGAGCATCGTGGCCCCGAGCGCCTCTGTGGCCTGCCGCCCCCTCGGGGAGGAGGAGGAGGAGGAGGAGGAGGAGGAGGCAGGAGGAGGAGGAGGAGGCAGGAGGAGGAGGAGGAGGCGGAGGATGGCGCGGGCAGAGCTCGCACGAGGGCGGGCGGCGGCCGGCCTCTGCGGGCCGTGGGCCCCATGTGGCCCCATCGAGGCTCCGACGCGCAGCCCCCGCGGCGGGGGAGCGGCCCGGTGGCCCGCCGTGGCCCGTGGCCCGCCGCAGTGGCCGTGGCCCCCGCGGTGTGCGTCCCGAGCCGCTCGGCGCGCGGACGTCGGAGAAAAGACGCGCTCTCGGCAGCGTGCGGCCGCCCGCGGATGCCTCCAGAGGCCTCCGGGATGCCTCTCCCTCGGGGCCTCTGGGGGCCTCCAGTCTGGAGGTCCCCAGAGGTCTCGAGGGAGCTCCACGCAAACCGCCAGCTCCAAACACTGACGCCACCCCGATCCCCGCATCCGTGCCAGGCACCCTCTCAACGACGCCCCCTTCCGGCGTAAAACCAATAAAACCCTTTGTTTATGTGCTTTTTCCTGTTCTGACCAGAGGCCCGAATGAGAGAGAGAAAGAGAGAGAGAGAGAGAGAGAAAGAGAGAGAGAGAGAGAATGGGACCGTGATCTCCTCAGCGCACGTCTCGATCGCAACGGGTGCTCGAACTGCTGGAGAGTCCAGGGATGGGTCGGCCAGGGACCGGGCCAAATGCGGGCCTGGACGTGGGCAGACTCCGTTTCTGCCCCGCGAGACCGGTTTGGAATAGGGGGAGATCCTGCGAGAGGCGGGGATACGGGAAGAGGCAGGATGAGGGGGGAGCGGGATGGAGCGTGGGGGGGGCGCAGGGCAGAAGGAAGGGGGAACTGAGGGGAAGGAGAGAGGCTGGAGGATGCAGGGGCCTGGCTGCTGCATTCACGTCGGGCTCGGGCCGCACAGCATACGTCCCGAACCGACCTGCTCGCTGCTGGCCCCGTCGGGGCCTCCTCATGCAAAGCATGCCCCCCCGAGATGCTCAGCGGCTGGCAGGCCTCTTGCCCACTCCAGTGCTGCCGACAATGTTGGCCCGCTGGTCCTCGTCGTCCAGGCTCCTGCGACAGGCGATGCGGGCGCATTGACTCCGCTCTCGCAAACAGCAGCACGCTGCAGCCCATGCCTGTATTCTGCATTCAGACGTTTCAGGGTGAGGAGACTTGGGAACCCACTATTCTGGACGAGAAACGGAGCTCACTGCACAATTCCTGGCAAGTGACGCTGCGATAGAGTCGAATGAATGCCCACGCGCCCGTCGCTAGGCTGGGCGCTCCAAGCCCTCTCCTCTAAAATTACCCCACCCTACGAAACGTGTATATAGCTGCGCGCGCATGTGAATACTTGCGCATGCTTTTCAAGTGTGTATGTGTGTGCTCACATGTAAGTGTTCAGAACCTCGCCAGAATTACCAAGTAAATCCGAACAATGGCTGGGTTATCGCTGCGATCACTGCCTGGCCCGAACACGCTTTTCTCGTACATCGTAGGCTTCGAAGGCGCCCAACCACTTCAGGCTACACATGTTTCACCAGCTCAGAGCTTTTTGTTACGTGATTCCAGCTACAAGCCTCGCGCACCTTGCCTCTCCTCCCTCCTCGTCTCGTCCTCTCGCCTCCTCGCCGTCACGTTCTGTCGCCTTCACCATCGTGGCTTCACTCTCTTCGTCAGCAACGCTCTTCGTCAACACCGCACGCGAGGCACAGCTGCAGTGGCGTGGCGCGCGAGGCTCACTCGTACAACGCGCGCGGTGGGAAAGACCGACCTGTGATAAACAGAAACCCAAGCTGGCCATCGCTCGGACGTCCATTCCCTGTGCTTTTTTCGGTTTCGTGCGTGGTTTTTTCGCCAAATGATCAAGGATGCTCCTCGATGGCCCCTCGCCGAGGAAAAAACGCACACGTCCGAGCGATGCCAGGCAAGAGGTCCGCCGCGCCGTAGCCTGCCGGATGGGGTGCTTGGCGTGTCCAGCTTCACAATCTCAGGGGCCCTTCCACGAGGTTCCCGTGGCCTTCGGCCCGTCCCGCCGGCCCCACGGAAAGCGCTTCACGCCAAGAAGACTCGCTAACGATATGGCTTCCAAGACGCCTCCAGATGCCTCCGAGATGGCTCAAGGAGGTCCCAAGAGCCGAGGGACTTCCAAGTTCGCCAAAGAGTCGATTCTAAAGCTGCCCCGGAAACGCCAGACGGCACAAGAGCTCCCTAACGCGGCCCTAACGCGGCCCTAATGCCAAGAAAGCCCCAAGATGGTTAAGAGAACCCCATGCGGCCCACAAAAAGGCCCCAAAGGCCGTGAACAGCCCTAAGACAGCCCCATGACGGCCCCTCAGCAGTGTTCTCCGAGTGGTTCCCCTGGCGGCTTGGGTAACTCGAAGTCTATGTAGCATTACAATGCTGACGCCTGACATTCCACCATACAGGCGCTTCTAGAAGGCAGGGGGCGGCGGTGACTCGCCAGCAGCGTGGGGGAGGGGGAGGAATAGGCGAAAGGGGAAGGCGCGACGATCCACCAGCCGATCCACTCGTGAATCTGTCCACCGCTGACTTCAGGAAGAGAGCATGGAGCGATACGAACCAAGTCGTGGACACGGGTATATTTCCCGCCCACGAATTCAAACCATTCAGAGAAAGAACGAATTGTGAGAGAAAATGGATGTGTGGGGAAACCATGAAATGCCCCACCGCTCCTCACTGGCCCGACGTGGCCCAGGGGAGCAGCTTCTGGTGTTGATTGGCAGTGGGAAAAAACCCCGCCTGAGCAACCCGACTTGATTGGGCGTCATCAAAAAGAAGAACAAAACGGCATGAACGTAAACTTTTGGCGCTCCGCGCGGATTTCTTGGATCTGCGCTGGACCCCCCGGAGCGCGCCAGGGGCGGCGCCGAGGCGCCGCCGGCCGGGGCCCAGCGCGGATCCAAGAAATCCGCGCGGAGCGCCAAAAGTTCATGTTTATGCCGTTTGTTCTTCTTCGAAAGCCCCGCCTGAGCAACCCGACTTGCTTGGGCGCCATCGTCATCGCCCTCGTCATGAAAATCCTCATCCTAGACTGGCGCGTTCCACGACCCGCGCAGGAACTGCTCGCAAATGGCCTGGATCCGCCGCGGGGGATCTACGATCCACTCCATCGAAGCAGACACACGTTTTTTCGTAGGACGCTTGCGAGTAAGCACTTTTGCGAGTCGCGGAACGCGCTCGGTGACATCCGGTCGCCTGCTGCCCTGGCCACCAGCTGCCGGCTCCGGCGGGGGCCTCGGCGCCGCGCCCTCTCTGCCGTGGGGGGGGGGGCCGCTCGCGCGAGTCTCCCTCTCGCCGTCGCTCGGACGTCCATTCCCTGTGTTTTTTGTCGTCGGTTTCGTGCGTGGCTTTTTCGCCAAACGATCAAGGATGCTCCTCGATTCGGGGGCGGCAAAGAGGGGGGTGTCCAAGAGGGGGGGTGCAAATCATGACCGGCGGCATGTGCGCGGCCCCGCGGGGGGGCCAGGGACGTAATGAAATAAGCAGAGGCGCCATGAAATCTGGGGAAATATCATGGCCCCCGCCATGATATCCACCCCCCCCTAGTCATCACCCCCCTCTTTTCCGCCCCCGATCGATGGTCCTCGCCGGAGGAAAGATGCACACGTCCGAGCGATGCCGCGCCCTCTCTGCCGTGGGGGGGGGGGCCCGCCCGCGCGAGCCTCCCTCGCTGGGCAGGCGCAGCGGGCGACGGGGCCACGCCGCGGTGGCGAAGAGGCGCGCCGGCTTCTGGCAGCGGCTGCGCGCAGAAGCCGACACCGGGCCCACGGAGCCAGTGCAACCTCATGGGAGCCCTGGAAGTGGGCAGCAACACCAAGACAGAGGGCTGCCTCCACAGGGGGGAGGTGATCATAGATTTCGGTGTTGGTGGTGATGTTTCGGCCACCCTGGACGCCAGAATACTACCACCATCACCGAGATCGGGATCTTCTTCCCTCGGTGGAGGAACACCGCCGATCTTGGTGTTGGTGTCAACCTCTAGGCCTGCGACCTCAGGAAGTCTTCAGAACGCCCCCCCCCCAAATGGCTTAACTAACTCTTTGGTTCGGCGGCCTTCGTCACGGTTTGGTGTTCCACCAATCGAGGAAACTGATGATTTGTCCCCGCGGCACCCGCCATGAGCGCTCTCGTGGAAAATCTTGGCTTATAAACTTGGCGTTTAGAAGCTGATCCTGAAAACTCCATCCTGAGAAGGACTGTTGAAACTCAGGACTGTTACGGCCGGGAACTTTTGTACAGCGTGTCGCCACGGTGGCCCTGGCGACACGCTATGCCCTGCGAGCGGAATAGTTAGCGTGTCGCTCCGCTATGCGGGGCGGCAGGCTGAGAAAGGCTCGTGACGTTGACGCATGTGGACCTGGAAGTGGATAGCGTGTCGCACCGAGGCGCGGTGGGCCAGAACCCGTGGAGCGCCACGCTATTTATTTCAAATGTCCCGACCGTTAGGTCGGGCATGTCGTCCTACAGGCGCGAAAAATAAAACGTACTCCAAAATATCCCAGAATAGCCAACACATCGCCCCCAGACTATTTTCATTCCCTACCTAGGTTCTGCCTAGAAGGGTTCTTACTCTCTTTGCTTAAAGGGCCGGGCAGTGCTAACCGCCCCGGGCGGTTCCCCCAGTCCCCACCCCGCGGTTCCCCCAGTCCCCTGGGAGCTTTAGCCTTAGCTTTAGCTTTAGCTTAGCTTTAGCTTTAGCTTTAGCTTTAGCTTTAGCTTAGCTTTAGCTTAGTGTTAGCTTAGCTTTAGCTTAGCTTTAGCTTAGCTTCAGCTTAGTGTTAGCTTAGATTTAGCTTAACTTTAACTTAGCTTTAGCTTAGCTTCAGCTTAGCTTCAGCTTAGCTTTAGCTTAGCTTTAGCCTTAGCTTAGCTTTAGCTTAGCTTTAGCTTAGCTTTAGCTTAGCTTCAGCTTAGTGTTAGCTTAGTGTTAGCTTAGCTTTAGCTTAGCTTCAGCTTAGCTTTAGCTTTAGCTTTTAGCTTAGCTTTAGCTTAGCTTTAGCTTAGCTTTAGCTTAGCTCCAGCTTAGCTTTAGCTTAGCTTTAACTTAGCTTTAGCTTAGCTTTAGCTTAGCTTTAGCTTAGCTTTAGCTTAGCTTCAGCTTAGCTTCAGCTTAGCTTTAGCTTAGCTTTATATTAGCCTTAGCTTAGCTTTAGCTTAGCTTTGGCTTAGCTTCAGCTTAGCTGTAGCTTAGCTTCAGCTTAGCTTTAGCTTTAGCTTTAGCTTAGCTTTAGCTTAGCTTTAGCTTAGCTTCAGCTTAGCTTCAGCTTAGCGTCAGCTTAGTGTTAGCTTAGCCTTAGCTTAGCTTTAGCTTAGCTTTAGCTTGGCTTGAGCTTAGCTTCAGCTTAGCTTTAGCTTAGCTTTAGCTTAGCTTTACTGTTACTACTAATGCTGCTTTCCTAGGGGCTCCAACTCCTAGGTAGGGTCGCACTGGGATAATTTTTTCCCTACCTAGGCTCTGCCTAGAAAGGTTCTTACTCTCTAGCTTAAAGGGGCCGGGCAGTGCTACACGCCCCGGGCGGTTACCCCAGTCCCCGCCCCGCGGTTCCCCCAGTCCCCTGGGAGCTTTAGCCTTAGCTTAGCTTTAGCTTTAGCTCTAGCTTTAGCTTAGCTTTAGCTTAGCTTCAGCTTAGCTTTAGCTTAGCTTTAGCTTAGCTTTAGCTTAGCTTTAGCTTAGCTTAGCTTTAGCTAGCTTAGCTTCAGCTTAGCTTCAGCTTAGCTTTAGCTTAGCTTTAGCTTAGCTTTAGCTTAGCCTTAGCTTAGCTTTAGCTTAGCTTTAGCTTAGCTTCAGCTTAGCTTTAGCTTTAGCTAAGCTTTAGCTTAGCTTTAGCTTAGCTTTAGCTTAGCTTTAGCTTAGCTTTAACTTAGCTTTAGTTTAGCTTTAGCTAAGCTTCAGCTTAGCTTCAGCTTAGCTTTAGCTTAGCCTTAGCTTAGCCTTAGCTTTAGCTTAGCTTTAGCTTAGCTTCAGCTTAGCTTTAGCTTAGCTTTAGCTTAGCTTTAGCTTTAGCTTTAGCTTAGCTTTAGCTTAGCTTCAGCTTAGCTTTCGCTTAGCTTTAGCTTAGCTTTAGCTTAGCTTTACTGTTACTACTAATGCTGCTTTCCTAGGGGCTCCAACTCCTAGGTAGGGTCGCACTGGGATAATTGTATTTTTGAATATTCCTCCTGTAGAGGGACACGCCCGACTTATACCCCGATCGCAAGCGACAAAAAGAAACGGGTCCTACGAGAGATGGCATGGCGACCTCACGCGGTGGCGAACGCAGGCCGCCAGCGCGGCACACCGCGTGGAGAACGGAGGCGCTCACGCATGACCTCGCGCGGGCGGCCTGCGGGCGAACGTCGGTGGAGACGACCCCGTTTCCCTGCGTCGCCCGAGGCCCTGGACCAATGCTCTCGAGCCTGCCGACGCCGTCGGTGTGATCGAGAGCTCTGTAGCTGCTCTACATCTCGTGATCGAGTCCGTAAGCCGAGCGCACACACACACAAAATATGGTTCCAGGGCGGGCTGAGAGGTTTTGATCCCTGTTCCCTGCGTCGCCTGAGGCCCTGGGCGGATTTCCGAAGCATTCGTTGGCTCCCGGAGGCTTTCTCGCACCGGGATGCCCTCCGGCGGCTGCGCCTCGTCGGGCGCGCAGTGCGGGAGCCCGAGCCGCCCCGAACGGTCGCCGGAGGCATGAGACTACACGGGGAAGCTGGAGAAAGGGAAGTGGGAACATCAGTGAAAGCGGAGGTGGCCAGGGCGGGAAACACTGGCAGGGGGTGAAACGAGTCCGAATTAGCCTGGCGAAGGACCCAACCATATGCAGTTGTGAGTAATGCTGGTGTGAGTACCGTCTTCGGTGGATCTCCCTATGGGGCCACGAACCGTTTGAGGGGTGTGCCGAAATGGGTGTGGGGGCGGCATGCGAACGTTGCCACTGGGGCCTTCGGTGGAGCTCCTTATGGGGCCACGAAACGTGTGAGGGGTGCACCGAAGTTGGTGTGGGGGCGGCATGCGAACGCAGCCACTGGGGCCTTCGGTGGAGCTCCCTGTGGGGCCACGAAACGTGTGAGGGGTGTGCCGAAATTGGTGTGGGGGCGGCATGCGAACGCAGCCACTGGGGCCTTCGGTGGAGCTCCCTATGGTGCCACGAAACGTGTGAGGGGTGTGCCGAAATGGGTGTGGGGGCGCATGCGAACCCAGTCACTGGGGCCTTCAGTGGAAATCCCCATGGGGCCACGAAACGTGTGAGGGATGTGCCGAAATGGGTGTTGGGGAGGCATACGAACCAGGCCACTGGGGCCTTCGGTGGAGCTCCCTATGGGGCCACGAAACGTGTGAGGGGTGTGCCGAAATGGGTGGTGGGGAGGCATGCGACCCTGCCACTGGGGCCTTCGGTGGAGCTCCCTATGGGGCCACGAAACGTGTGAGGGGTGTGCCATGCGAAAATGGGCCACGAAACGTGTGAGGGGTGTGCCGAAATGGGTGGTGGGGAGGCTGCGGAGGGGGCCACGAAAACTGTGGAGCTGGGTGCCCCTGCGTGTGCGTGCCGCATGCGTGGGGAGGGGGCCACGAAACGTGTGAGGGGTGTGCCGAAATGGGTGGAGGCATGCGAACAGCCACTGGGGCCTTCGGTGGAGCTCCCTATGGGGCCACGAAACGTGTGAGGGGTGTGCCGAAATGGGTGGTGGGGAGGCATGCGAACCCTGCCACTGGGGCCTTCGGTGGAGCTCCCTATGGGGCCACGAAACGTGTGAGGGGTGTGCCGAAATGGGTGGTGGGGAGGCATGCGACCCTGCCACTGGGGCCTTCGGTGGAGCTCCCTATGGGGCCACGAAACGTGTGAGGGTGTGCCGAAATGGGTGGTGGGGAGGCATGCGAACCCTGACCCACTGGGGCCTTCGGTGGAGCTCCCTATGGGGCCACGAAACGTGTGAGGGGTGTGCCGAAATGGGTGGTGGGGAGGCATGCGAACCCTGCCACTGGGGCCTTCGGTGGAGCTCCCTATGGGGCCACGAAACGTGTGAGGGGTGTGCCGAGATGGGTGGTGGGGAGGCATGCGAACCCTGCCACTGGGGCCTTCGGTGGAGCTCCCTATGGGGCCACGAAACGTGTGAGGGTGTGCCGAAATGGGTGGTGGGGAGGCATGCGAACCCTGTGGTGGAACGAATGTGAGGGGTGTGCCGAAATGGGTGGTGGGGAGGCATGCGAACCCTGCCACTGGGGCCTTCGGTGGAGCTCCCTATGGGGCCACGAAACGTGTGAGGGGTGTGCCGAGATGGGTGGAGGGGAGGCATGCGAACCCTGCCACTGGGGCCTTCGGTGGAGCTCCCTATGGGGCCACGAAACGTGTGAGGGGTGTGCCGAGATGGGTAGTGGGGAGGCATGCGAACCCTAAGAGGGAGGAGGGCGAGGAGGAGGAGGAGGAGGAGGAGGAGGAGGAGGAGGAGGAGGAGAGGAGGAGAGGAACGCGGGGCACCGTCTCTTCAAAACGAGGACCCAACACCACAGGATGGTTGGGAAAAACAGTATAGGCTAGGGATGCGGTCGCCGGGGCTGGAACAGAAATAAAGGGAGCACTGGCCAGGGCTGGAAAGAGTGGAAGGGCTGGCCCCAGTCACTTTTTCCAGCTTCCATGTATCGGCGGTGGACAAACCTCCCTTTAGTAAACCACCCTTTAGTAGTGAAAGCGGCCTGGGACCGAAACCGACGGACCTGGAGCCGCAAAAATGGCGGCCGCGACGCCCTCGCGCGAACCGAAAACGACGAATTCGCCACTCGACGTGTCAGGGTAGGACCTCTATCAAACTCCAAATGTCGCCCGAGAGCCACATGAGTCTCCGCAAGAGTGGCCTCTGTGGTGCGCAATTCAAGTGCCCCTCGTGGCATGCGCTGCGACGGCGGGGCCCGCGTGCTGCCCAAGCCACACATGGTCGAGAGCCCCAGCCGGCCGCATGGCCGCTCCGAAACCTGGGTCAGCGGACGGAGAGGCGGGGGGTCACGCATTTGACGATGGACCCCTTGTTGCCCACCAGCCCTGCGCGGTCTTCGGCGCTCTCCCGCGGTCGGCTGGCGGCCTTCGGCAGTCTTCGGCGGTCTTCCGCGGTCTTCTGACGGCCTTCGGCGGCCTTCGTCGGCTTCCAGCGGTGATCGGCGCGAAAGGTCAGTGTTTGCGGTTGACAGGGGCTCCATGGTCGAACACCTCAAGGGGGGATCGGCTCCAATTGGCTCGCAAACCCAGGTCAGCCAGGAAGGATCGGAGGGGACTGGCTGACCTCCGCTGGCGCTGACCACAACTCGGGCCTCAATCGGCCATCCATCATCTCCGGAGCCGGAGCGATCTCGAAGAGGGTCAGATGGAAAACGCCCCAGCCCCGAAGGCCTCCGACAAATTGTCGAATGCCCCCGTAGGCGCCAGCGGGCATGAAGCAAGCATGCCCTCAGGGGAATGGGTCCTGGACCCAGGGCCGCTCCCTGGGAGCAACTTTTCGCCCCGAAGCGTCCTTCGTGAGGAATGCCCCGAGAAGGCGACACCGGGCGCTTGCTTTACTGAAGAGGCCCTGGGACACACACACACACACATAAATACACACTAAGAAAACGATTCCCCATCTTTTCCCATATTTCCTTGGTTTTTCCCCACATCCAAAGTGGGGTTCTTGTTTTCTCTGCACACGCCGCGCAGGATCTCCCCCCCCCCTTTCCTCTCTCTTTCTCTCACACACACACTCACCATTATCACCATCATCATCACCATCAACCACCGTCATCGTCATCACACGCACCCACTCATCATCATTACCATCATCATCACCATCAACCACCATCACCGTCATCACTACTCATCATCATCCTCATCATCATCATCGTCACCATCATCACCACTCTATCACCCACTCGCTCACTCAATTACTCACTCATCCTCAGTAGGCTTCGGAGGCATTTTCCTCCGACGGTAGGACCGCCGCCTCTCAACATCATCGTCACCATCACCATCATCATCTCTCGATCACCCACTCACTGGTCATCGTCATCATCAGCATCATCATCACTCAATCATCACTTGTTCATCATCAGCACTCACTGACTCATCACTTCGTCATCAATCGCTCCCTAAATTGAATATGGAGGTAGTATCAGGCGGGAGCCTCGTCGGTGAGTGAATTGCGAGGAAATCTCAGGCGGGAACCCCCTCCCTATGGGGCCCGCACTTCATGTTGGTAATCCGAACGGGTCATCCGGCACGTGTAACTCTCGTCACTTTTGGGTTCCTGAGGCGTGAATATGGAGGAAGTATGAGGCGGGAGCCTCGTCGGTGAGTGAATTGCGAGGAAGTCTCAAGCGGGAGCCCCCTCCCTATGGGGCCCGCGCTTCATGTTGCTAATCCGAGCGGGTCATCCGAAACGTGTAACTGTCGTCATTTTTGGGCTCCTGAGGCGTGAGTATGGAGGAAGTATCAGGCGGGAGCCTCGTCTGTGAGTGAATCGCGAGGAAGTATCAGGCGGGAGCCCCCTTTCTATGGCGCCCGCAGATCATGCTACTAATCCGAAGCGGGTCATCCTGAAACTTGTAACTGTCGTCACTTTTGGGCTCTTGAGGCCTGAATATGGAAGAAATATCAGGCGGGAGCCTCGTTTGTGAGTGAATTGCAAGGAAATCTCCGGCGGGAGCCCCCTCCCTATGGGGCCCGCAGATCATGTTACGCATCCGAGCGGGTCATTCTGAAACCTGTAACTGTCGTCACTTTTGGGCTCCTGATGCTTGAATATGAAAGAAGTATCGCGCGGGCGCCTCGTCTGTGAGTGAATTGTGGGGAAATCTCCGGCGGGAGCCCCCTCCCTATGGGGCCCGCAGATCATGTTACGAATCCGAGCGGGACATCCTGAAACCTGTAACTGTCGTCACTTTTGCGCTCATGAACCTTGATTACGGAGGAAGTATCAGGCGGGGGCCTCGTCTGTGAGTGAATTGCGAGGAAGTCTCTGGCGGGAGCCCCCTCCCCATAGGGCCCGCAGATCATGTTACGCATCCGAGCGGGTCATCCTGAAACGTGTAACTGTCGTCACTTTTGGGCTCCTGAGCGCTCCGAACATGCACAAGACCGGGGACATCCACGGCGTCTTACTTGCACACGTCGGCATGGAGGTCCGGGTCACGGCCGTGCAAGAGGAGCTGAAGAAGCAGTTGGGGCTCGTGCAGGAGCAACGGGCCACCATCGTGTCCTTCGAGTTTCACGCAGACGACGAGCGAGACTACGAGGAGTGCGCGCCGGGCCAGCTCTTCCGCCCCTGCTACCTACCGCAGGGAATCTGGCTGCAGGTGCACGGCTTCCAGGAGTCCCCGATCTACAAGGAGGTCGCCGAGGTGCTGCAGCAGCGCGCCGATGGCGCTGGCGACGACGGCGAGGCCGAGGCGCGGGCGAGGAGCTTGCTCATGTTCAGGCCCAGCGAGCAGGAGCTCACGTGGCAGAGCTCGGGGGCGCACGCTGTGCGCCGCTCGGGGTTCACCCTGACGCGTGCGTCCTACCTGACCTCCACGCTGTCGCAGGGCCAGACGCTGCGCAATGGCGTCACCGTCGACTGCGCCAGGGATGAGGACGCTGGCCGCACGGGCATGTCGGACGAGATGTGGTGGCTGCACCTCTACGTCATGTTCTCCCGCGCCACGTGCATGCGGAACATGCTGATCCTGCGGCCGCCCGCGCGAGAATGCCCGGAACGCGGGCCGCCGGCGTCCCTGCGGAAGGCGCTACAGGAGTTTGACAAGAGAGCGGTGGGCTCCAGGGCTGAGGCGGAGCAGCTCGCGGCAGAGCTGGGCTTCGTGCTGCCACCCGCCTGAGCGCCGCGGCGCGCACCTGGAGGCCCGCGGGGTTGTCCCAACGGCTGGCTCCCGCGCCCGTGCGGCCTGCGAGGTTGTCCCAACGGCCTGGTCCGAAGGGTTGTCCCGACGGCTTCGCGATCTAGCCGTCGGCAAACGCGCGCGTGCTGGCCGACGCGGCGACGGCGCCGAGGAAAATCGAGTTGCTTGCCACGACCAGGGGGAACGGGAGGTGCACATGGAGAAGAGGCAGGAGGATGAGGAGGGAAGGGGCATGGGGGAGGGCGACGACGAGGAGGAGGTGGCGCGAGAGGAGGAGGAGGAGGAGGAGGAGGAGGAGGAGGAGGAGGAGGAGGAGGAGGAGGAGAAGGAGGAAGGAGGAGGAGGAGAAGGAGGAGGAGGAGGAGGAGGAGGACGAGGAGGAGAAGGAGGAAGAGAAATAGAAGGAGGAATAGAGGGCAGTGCAGAGGGCGAGAGGAGAGGGTGTCCGCCAGGGGGAGGAGGAAAGGGCAAAGGGTAAGCTAAACAGACTCTCGTGTGGAGCCTACCGACGGAGTAATTGTCTTCCCCCCACTTCCCATATTTTCTAATATTTTCTGGGGAATCGACGATTAATTGTGTCTGTGTGTTTCTTTTCCTTCTGAGCAGAGCGGTTGGCAAAGAGCAGGGCGGCCGCAGAGGCGGGAGGAGGAAGGATAGGCGGCAAGCGCGGGGGGAAGCGAGAAGGGGCGGGGCTTCTCGGAAGGCTCGGAAGTCCCCGGTAATGATTTTCCAGCCTACTTTAGCTTTGATCACCAACAAGAATTTCGAGCGCCAGAAAAGTACACCCAAACTCTAGGGTTTTCACGTGTCGGGCCCTGGGAGACACTCGTCCGACACTGTTTCGACACTCTTTTGCCACTTTTCTGGGTGCTCGAAATTATTTCTGGGATGCGGTCCGTATGTAGGACCAGTGCGAAGCAAGCCAGCAGCGAACCGTCGGAAATGTCCGACGACCTCTGAAGCCCCCCCCCCTTCCGGGTGCAAGCCGCGCTCTGTTGGGCGGGCCACACCCGCCGCCGACCCGCAGGGCTCCGCCCCGCCCCACACGCAGCACCGCGCTGCCTCACCGCGGCGCTCAATGCCGCCTCCGCCGACGACGACGCCGACGGCGACAGCGACGCCGACGCCGATGACGATGCCGACGCCGACGCCGATGTCGACGCCGACGCCGACGACGACGCCGACGCCGACGCCGACGCCGGCGCCGATGCCGATGCCGACGACGACGATGACAACGATGCCGACGACGACGCCGCCGCCGACGACGACGGCGACGACGCCGACGACGACGACGACGACGACGGCGACGACGACCGCCGCCTGCGCCCCGACCGCTCTGCGGCTTCGGGGCCCGGCCGCGCGATCGGCCAGGGCAGGCCGAGCCGCGGGCGGCACTGGCTGCGCGGGCAGGGGCGCCCTGGCCATGCGGAAGAAGCCCCACGCGTGGCTCTGCGGGTCCGTCGGCTCCTCTGCGCTGCTCGAGGCCCTCTGGGTGGGGTCCGAGTAGGTGGGGTCGGAGGATCGCCGCCATCGGCGATGCGGCGCGACCCTCCGACCCCACCTACTCCGACCCCATCTGGGAGGCCTATAGAGCTGCGGGGGCACCACGCCGAGGGGAGGCCCAGGCTTCCCCGGCAGCCCCAGGCTCTCCTGTCTGTTCAGCCACGACGCGCGACGCACACTCGTCCCCAGAGGCGCTCGCACCACGGCAACGAATTACAAGCACATCGAGCACTGTGAAAGTGCCTGGTTGTGGCGGAAAGCGCCCCACGCGCAGACGATCGGCATGAGAGACAAAGAAACACTACGAACGCTGGTTTCCCGAACACGTGACGGCACCAAGGTTGCTCTCTGAGCCCATTCGCGGTGTGAGCCCGCTCGGCTGCCGAACCGGCTCGGGATCGAGCCCGTTTGGCTGCAGAGTGGGATCACACGCTCAGGACAAGATCAGTCAACATCGAATCTCGCTGCCGTTGGGCTCCTCTCGCTGCGGGCAGGCTCAGTCAGCACCGACTCGCGAAATCGGATCCGATTGGAATGCGCATCGGACCGAGCCGCATCTGCGACGGGAGCGATGTCATGCTAGGATTGGACCATGATGCGTTGCAAGAGTGCCAGAGTCTCTGGCGGCCCTCGTTTCCGCAGCCCGCGTGGAACGCTCGGAAATCTTAGGAATTCTTGTGAATTCCTGGAAACCTCCTGGAAATCTGGGGAAATCCTGGAAACCCTGGAACGCATCATTACCATGACCTCTTGCTCCTCCGAGCGTCGGCACGGAGCCACAGTCGCATCGGCTTGGCCGCGCCAGAATGCTAAACACCGACGTGCGATCTTCTGGGCCGCGTCGGATCGTCGGAACATCAGACTCGAATCGGACTGCACCGTCCGGAATCGAGACCCAGTCGGATCGACGGTGGGCCTCGGGGACAGGGCGGCTCGGAAGGTTAAGCAGCTGGCTCTGGGGAGGTCCAGGGGCCCGCGCAGCGAACCGATGGGAACTCGGAGTCTCTGACTCGCCGCTCTCTCTCCACCCTTCCTGGCGCCTTGGCTTTTTTGAAGGATTTGGGCGTTGTCGCCTTTTCGGGTTTCAGAACGCAAAAAAACCGGGGAAGATGCCGCCAAGAGGCTCCCAGCACGGCCCCCAGACGGCTCAAGAGGACTCCAAGACGGCCCAAGAAGCAGAAGTACCACGAGAGCTGTCACCCCAGTCCTCCTCTCTTCCGCTGGACCCCTCGTGCTCGCTTTCGTCCGGCGGCCCCGACCTCGTCGGCCCACGGATGGTGCCAGTACGGCACTTTTCGGGCGCTCGTCCACGGGGGAGCAACCAAACGGGGAGCGAAGGAACACGTGCTTCCTGGTAGACCCAGCTCGCGTGCGCATGGCGGGCCCTGGGGGGCCCCCAGAAGAACCCTGACCTTCCAGGAGGGCTAAAAAATAGCACGCGACTTAAAAACCGATCCCAGAGCTATTCGATGTCGTGGTTTTAGGCTGTTTCGCTTCGTTTTTTAGGTCTTTAGGTCTCCCGTGCTAAGACATAGCTCTCTGGAAGGTCAGGGAAGAGTACCCCGGGCGGTCCCCGGCAATGTCCTGGTCACGGGCGCCGGAACTCCGAGGCGCGGCCCTGGGGGCTCCCGGTGCGCCCCGGGAGCCCCCCAAAGGAGGCGCCGAAGAGGTGGCCGGCCCCACGGCCTCGGGCCAGGAGCGCTCCAAGACGGCTTCAAGACGCTCAAGACGGCCGAAGAAGGCTCCAACAAAACTCGGAGAGGGCACCCCAAGGAAACATGCGTTGATTTTGCCTAGGCTTTTGAAAGGTTCTGGCGTTGCCGCCTTTTCGGGTTTCCGACCGCCCAGACTGGTGGAGATGCCGCCAAGAGGATCCCAGGACGGCCCCCAGACGGGCCAAGAGTACTCCAAGACGGCCCAAGATGCCTATCACGAGAGCTGCAGAGGCCAAAAAAAGAAGGCCCAACATGGGGTATCCAGGGCAACATGTCGAGCCTGCCCCGAAACCCGAGCCCGCTAGCATGCTCCCCAAAAGTCCCCAGGAGGTTACAAAAATGCGGCCAAGAAGCCCCCGAGAGGCCTCTGAAGAAACCCCAAGACGCCTCCTAAAGAGGAAGCTGGTTCACTGCCACCAAGAGGCCCCCGAGAGGCCTCCGAAGAGACCCCAAGGCGCCTCCCAAAGAAGCACCTAATCCACGACCCAGTTTGACCCCGAGAGCCGCCACAGTTTACCTTCGATTATCTCTCAGACATCTCCCCTCGGCCACGGGCACACGAACATATCCCCTGTCGCTGCGACCAGACGGGCACGCGGCAATAATGACACTGTGCCGGCCAGCGGAGTTAACGTTGGGCGCGAGTTCATGGGGGGGGGGGGGGGGGGGGCGATGCATGAGGGGCAGCGAGGGCTGCCGGACAGGGGCCCTTTAGGGCCCCAAAAGGAGCCCTTTAGCGCCCAGAAGGGGGCCTGCAGGGCCCGAAAATGGGCACCTCTCTCCCCTCCTCATTGATCGCCCCCCATCAATTTGCGCCCAAGAACGACATGACCAATATAAAACACCGGGGAGGGAAGAGGCCCGGGGGGTGGTCCCCCCCGGGGGTCAGCCCCGGGTCAGAATGCTGCCCTCCCGGGGCGTGTCGGCAGGGCCGAGGCCTCCGGGGTCGGCGGCACCGGCCGTAAGGCCTCAGCAAGATAAGGCCGGGGAGGGAAGAGGCGCGCACCTCTCCAGCACCCTCACGGGCCCGCGGCTGCAGCGTACAGGGGGCCGTCGGGGGCCCCTCCAGGGCCAGTTTCCTGCCATCCTCGATCCCTCGCCAGCTTCCTCCTCCTCCACTTCCTCCTCCTCCTCCTCCTCCTCCTCCTCCTCCTCCTCCTCGTTCTCCTCCTCGTTCTGCTCCTCGTTCTGCTCCTCGTTCTCCTCCTCCTCCTCCTCCTCCTCCTCGTTCTCCTCCTCGTCCTCCTCGTCCTCGTCCTCCTCGTCCTCGTCCTCCTCCTCCTCGGGCCCGCGCGAACATTGGCTGCCCCACTCGGCCGGTCCTCTGGCACCAGCTGGACGTACTTCCGCGTCGCGCCCTCGGCACACGGAGGCGTGCACTGCAGCGGTGCAGGGCGCCGACGAGACTCGGCAGCTACAGTCGCGATCCATGCTGGATTCGCATCGGGCGAAAGGCGATTGCCGCCTGCGGGAAGCCCGAAAACGATCGTGACATATCTGCGAACGGAGATTCGACCTCGGCAGCCTCAGCCGTGGCAGCAATCGTGGTGGCAGCGGCTCGCTGAGGGCGTGGCCGAGCCATACACGTTCAAGAAGAAGCCAGGGAAACACACCGACTCGAACGTCACCTGGCGACTGCACCAGATACTAGCTTCCACGATAATCTCATCATGATAAGCCAGGCAGAGCAAGCTCAGACAGAACCACACAATGTTTCCTTGAACAATGGTGAAGAACGGGTGGTACCGGAAGGCCCTTTGCTGGCATGAAAGAGAACATCGACGAACGAAGCACCAGTGGCACATTCATGCTCGCATGTCTTGTGCACGCGCTCATGTGCATGCGCGCGCACCTGCGTGCACCAATTGACACGACTGATCCCTTTACGCTCGTAATCCGGGAGCGGGCAGAGCTAGCAGCACGCCCTTTCGTGAAAGCGGCCTGCGGGCCAAACCCCGCATGTGCAGGCCAGCAGAAATGGGGCGGCCGCACCGCCCCCTCCAGAAGCCAAGAAAGGGCCCCTCGGACGGCTACGCCAGTCGACTCTTGCAGCCGATTCGCAGCAGGCGCCGCGGAGGCCACCGACGGCTCGTGCGGGCCGCCCGCAGACCTCCGAGGCCAGGCGGAGGCCACCGAGGGCTCGTGCGGGCCGCAGCGCCTTCCGACTGACCGCGACAGGCGGACCGTCCCGACAGCGCCCTCCACGCCTTGTGTGCTCCTCCTCCTCCTCCTCCTCCTCCTCCTCCTCCTCCTCCTCCGCCTCCTCCGCCTCCTCCTCCTCCTCCGCCTCCTGGCTCAAGTCCTGAGCACACCGCGGGAGGTGCAGGACTCAGAATTGCCATCCAGGGAATGCCCTGGGTGTTCGGGCTCAAGCCTTCGGTTTTGCCCAGTGCCAGCCTGGTCAGCCCCAGGCAGAGGCACAATCACGTCCCGCACCAGTGCCACCTGCTGGGCCCACTGTCTGTGTGTGCTGCGGCGCAGAGGACACAGGAGATGGCGGCGGCCCAGAGGAAGTATGTCGTTTGCTCGAAACGTGGCTGTAAAGGGTGGGCTTGGTGTTCTGCTAATGCTCGCCATTGCATCCAGTGTGGCAATCGATTCAAGCAGCGCTCGGAGTCCGCTTCGTACGCAGATCGGCCTGCAGGGGGAGGCGGAGGAGCTCAGGAGGATCGACCTGACGATCAAGTGCCACCGTCCAAGCCAGGCCGCTGGAGACACGGCTCCCGCGGGCCCGAGCTTCCCCCTGGTCTAGGCCGCGGAGGAGGTCGAAAGGTCACCTTCGCGGAGGACGACACCCACAGTGAAGATCCCGTGGCCCTGGCCCAAGCACAGGTCACGTTCTGGAAGAAGTGGAAGCCATACGGAGAGGAGCACAAGTCGGCGCTGGGCAAGCTCAAGTTTGCCAAGGCGCAGGCCCTGTCCGCCAAGAGCTTGGAGCAGCAAGCTCAGTCGCTGTCAGATCAGTTGCAGGTCGCGCGCCAGAAGCTCACGGCCCAGAAGAAAGAAGCGATGGAGCTTGTGCACACCATCGTCGAGGCCAGCGAACACCACGGCAAGCTGGTCGAGGATATTGAGATCAATAACGAAGAAGTGTAGTCCCTGGAGTCTCAGCTCAACCTGGCCACCGAGGCAGCAGCGCACGAGGCATCCAAGGATGAGGATTTGCTCGCCACTATCCAAGGCATGCTGGCAGCTCGCATGCCCGAGGGTGGGGAGGCCCCACCAGAACTATGTGCTAAAGTATCGGAGCTGGCGCAGCTTTTCGACAACATGCAGCACCAGCACACCATGTATGTGGAGACCCAGGCGAAGGGCGAGGGCAAGGGCAAAGGGTTGCAGCCAGCACAGGAGCCTGACGGCTTCCCCGCAGTTGGCGAATGCGCTGATGAGCCAGAAGCGCCCCATCCCATTCCAGGCCAGCATGTACCAACGCCAGTGGACGACAAGGAGCTGGAGGACGCCCCGCCCGCCGACGCCGCCGGAGCGACCCCGATGGACGAGTCACAGGGCCGTGTGCGTGCTGCTGCGGCACTGGAGCAGGTCGCCAACGGCATGGCCAAGATCCAGGGCGACGGCGGCCCCGAAGCCAAGAAGGCCAGGGCGGCTGCAGCGGCCGCAATGGTCGCTAGTGAGGTTCCGTCGCCAGGGTAACCAGAATTATAAGCTAGCCACCATTAATGGATCGTGCTGGCCTGCCGTTCGCAAGTTTTTGCAATCCCCGCAGGCCAGCGCAGTCACCATCATTTGTGCCAGGAGTGTAAGTTAGCCGAAGGCGATAGCATTGTACGCCAGATACAATGGTGCGCGTCTCAAGGCTGGCTGGCCTACATAACTCCTGCTGCAGTGAACCCTTACAATGAGCTGATTTCGGGAGTCGCGACTTTGATCCGGGATGGTTTGGACCTGGGGGTCCAACCTTTGCTGATTCCCTCGAGGTGTGAGCCCGCTCGTTTGTCTGGGGTGATCCAGGAGCTCCCAGGGATCCCACAATTCGCTTTGTGTTCTACGTATTTCCAAGCTGCTGCTGGTCTCTCGGAGACTAATTTAAACCTCTTGGCCACCATCGGCCAACTTCAAGATGACTTAGCGCATCCAGTTTTGGTCGCGGGGGATTTCAATTTGGCCCCCACCAGGTTGTCCCATGCCGAGTTTCTGTCCAGGTCCACTATGGCCGTGCTTGCGCCCCCGACAGCCACCTACAGAACCAAGAAGACCAAGTCGACTCTCGACTATTTTGTTTCCAGCCAAGGCCTCGCGCCTTGGCTCCAGAACCCCCGTGCCCTGGCCTCCTACCCTCTCTCCCCTCATAGGCCCGTGCTGTCGGATATTGTTGTCCAGGATAACTTTTATACCACCTCGCTGCATAGGCCCCAGAAGCTGCCCACACATATCCCAGTGGGCCCGCAATTACCAGAAGTGAGTTGGCACCAGACTGCCGCGATCATGGAGTATGCCTCGCAATTGATCGAAGATGCTCAACGGCCTCTCTCCGATCAGCAATCGACTGTGATCCTGGACCACGTGTACTTCACCCTGGCCCAGGACTTGGAAGCTACAATCAGTAGGAGGACCAACGCCCCTATTAAACCCAGTAAGTTCCCCAGGGCTCCCCCCCCCCCCCCTCAGGTTCTCAAGGTCCCCGCGGAGGCCTACGCGGCTCGTAGCAGAGCCAAATGGGTGGCCTATACGGGCCCGTTAAGATGGCTGTGTATCCGAATTCAGGATTTCAGACGCTGCATTCAGGACTGGGACTCGTTCGAGTTCCAAGAAATCCTGGACAGCCTGGAGGATTGCCCCGGGTTGTTCTCCACTGCGGTGTCCCTCATGGAGGGGCTTCAGGATATTCGAGTAGCTGCAGGTTTGCTACTTATGGATTTCCAGGCTGGCGTTCTAGATCAGACGTTGGCGCTGCAAGTGCTAGACGAGCTGCCAGAGCATATCACCAAGCTCCTGCACCAGGAGCAGGCGGCGGAGAATGCCGCAGATGGGAGGGCTTGGAGGGAGTGGGTTCAGTCTAACATGACAGGGGGAATGGGATGGGCTCACAGATGGTCTACACGACTGGAGGCCTGGCGCCCGACATCTGTGCAATACCAGTCTCAGTACACAGGCAGGCCCCAGCATATATTGCAGGTCGAAGCTGATCGTCTAGCTAAGATATGGCAAGTTTCCCCCCAAGACCCCACCTCAACTCGTTCCTGATACCGATGACCGTGTCGCCCTGGGTCCGATTACTCCCAAGAGACTTCGACAAGTTGCGCGTTGTTTTCCTCGCGCCACAGCTTCGACCTGGGACGGTTTCATCCGCGGCACTTCAGTATGTTGAATAATGAGCAGGCGGAGATCGTCTGCCAATTTATCGCTCTGATCGAGAAGGTTGGTCACATGCCGACTCAGCTCCAGGGGATTGTCTCAACGCTTATGATTAAACAGAAACAACATGATACTCCAGCCAGTCAGCCCTCGTTCAGGTCTATTGGCATGCTACCAGCGCTCTATCGTGTCTGGGCCCGCCTTAGGAGGTCGGCAGCCAGAGAGTGGGAAGCCCACCATCGCCGGCCTTATCTAGCTCACCAGGCGGGCCACTCTATTGTTGAATTGGTCTACAAACAATCCTTGGAATGCGAGTTCAACAGCTCAGCCAAATATCAACAATACAGCGCCCAGGTCCTCTACGATCTATCTAACTACTACGAACACGTTGACCGGCCGTGTCTAGCGCATCGTGCTGTTGAGTCAGGTTTTCCATGTTGTTTACTTCGCATCATTCTATCGCAGTATGCCAGCGAACGTATCGTCTCTTTGCAAGATTGTGCGGTCACCGTCGGCAAACCTTGGAGGGGTATTGCTGCTGGCTGCAGTTGGGCCACGTACCTTGTGCAGATGTATGTGCTTGCCCCCTTGGACATATGGACACAGGCCCATAGCTACATTCGATTCGCTATGTTCATTGATGATCTGCTACTACAGTGCCACGGTCGCAGTTTCAGCCTCATCGTTGGCCAGTTGAACATAGCCGCCAGATCGATGGCGGATTGCATCATCCACGAGTTTAAGTGCCAGATTGCCAGCGAGAAGTCCCAGGTGCTAGCGTCTCACCAAGCGTTGCAGGACCAGCTCAGGTCTAAGCTAGGGCCCCTGGCAGGTCCGGACCCTCATCGTTCGGGACCCAACCTGGGGGTTGAAACTGGGGCTGGCCGCCCCCAGAGAAGATGGATAACGTTTCGGAAACTTACGGAGCGTCTTGACAAGATGCGTAAAAGACTTAACAGGGTCCACATGCTAAAACGTGCTGGGGACAACACTCACAAACTGTATAAGACTGGCCTGGAAGCGGCCACCACTTTTGGAGTTGAGGTCACTGGCATCACCGGCACTCAACTTGAATCTGCTAGGTCGCAGTTTCTGGCTGCCGCGGGCCCGAGATGCTCGACCCGCAGCCGCAGCCTGTCGTTGCTCATCCTCCAGGACCCCTTGTGGAAAGCGGCCCTCGGTCCCGCCATTATGTGGCATCGTTTAGTTTGGGATGCGAACACCCGTCCGCACTTGGCCGTGGCTAGTCTCCAACAGCTGCGGGCTTGGGCTGAAAACGCCCCCCCGAGGGTTTCTAAATCGTGGGGCTCTTCCAGGGCCCCCCTCAGTGCGGCGGTGCTGTCGCTGAAGCGTATTGGTTGGAAGTTCCAGGGGCCGTTTACCTTTGTGACTGCCTCAGGTCTTGAGTGCCCGCTCCCAGGACATTCCCCCGCCTTCCTCCAAGGGCTCATGGAGCACGACTGGCACGGCCAGCTCGCCTCCAAGGCGGCCGTCAAGCTCGGCCACGCGGACGCTCAGTTAGACGTTGCTGCTGCTCGGATGGCTCTCTCGTCAGACCTTCCTGGGCATCAGAAAGGCACCTTACTCGCCTTCCTTACCCAAAGTATCTGGACCATGGAGAGAGCCAAAGCAGCAGGATATGAAGTTCCAGTCGGCTGCGAGCGCGGCCATCATTCGGACAACCTCTGCCGCAGATTACTGCACTGCCAGAAGACTGAAGTTCTCAGAGCCACTCACTTCTCGGATGCGGGGCTTCAACGTTTAAGAGAGCCCCCTCCCCAGGCCCCCTCTTTTACGTCTTGGGTTCCAGCTGGTCCCTGAGTTCCGTGGAGTGCCTCCTCCTGGATCTGGTTTGGAGTTTGGGGAGTTTGGGCGTGCTCAAGGAGGTACCACCCCTCAAGAGGCCTTCAGCGAGGGGGAAGTGTATATAGATGGCAGTTGCACTAATCATGGGCACTATGTGCTCAACGCTGCTGGTTTCGCTGTAGTATGTTTCAGAGAAGGTGAAATTTTTGCCTATTTCAGTGGCCGAGTCGGCCAGATGCTGTTGCAAACGTCCAGAGCCGCGGAGCATTTGGCTGCAGTCGCGGCCAGTCTTATGTCTAGCAGTGTTGAAGTAATTTATTCTGACTACAAGGGGGTAGTATTGCTGCATCAAGGCACCGAGTACCCCCGTCGCAATCTGTGGGCTGGGTTTAAAGTCTTGGCTGGCAGAGGGCTCTTTCCTTTAGGGTCGAGGCTCCAAAAGGTCAAGGCCCACCGAGATACTCAATCCCTACCCGTAAGCAGCGAGGCCCGTCGATTGGCGGAAGGTAGTGATGCTGCGGAACGCTTAGCGAAGGCAGCTGCACACAAGGGCGTTCAGCCCAGCGCGGATGAGAAGTGCAATTTCACCGAAGATAAGAAGTTTGTTACCAAATATCTCAAGTACGTTGTTCAGGCTCTGGGAGAGTGGCCCGCGATAGCCCCCAGAAAGAACAAAGTTTTGGCCGCCCCAGAGAAGAGCCTCTCCCCCCCCACGGGTGCTGCCTCTGCCCTTGCGTCGTGGACGCCGCCGTCGTTGGTCGTGCCTCCTCCTCCCCCTCCTCCGCCTGTGCCTCATGAGGTCCCTCGTGAGCCCAGAGTTCCTAGGAGATTTCATGCGTGGGCATTAATTGCGCAGTATCATCGGTGCATTCTGTGTAGGGTGCAGACGAAGCCAACCAAACAGAGAGCAGCTCTTGCGGCCAAGGAATGTCCTGGCCACTGCAAGCAGCTGTCAGACCTCGTGCATGATAATAAAGGCCATGCTTTATTTTATTATGAGTACCTTGATCATCCCACGAGTATTCTGGTTTGCCATAAGCGTGGATCCTACTCTGAAGGGTTGGGTCGAGGGCTCACTGGAGGCTGTGGCACTCGAGTGAGCCACCAAGGAGCGGCTACTCAACTTGCCCGTGTCCAGGAGGGTCGTGATCCCAAGGGTTCCAAGTCATCCCCGATCATATTTAAGACCCCCGCAATCCCCCTGGCCAGATTGGTGCGCGAAGAGCAGGCCAAGGTCAGTGAAGAGGAGGCACCAAGACCTCCATAGTCAGCCGTGCTCTCTCACGGCGGACATCGAACATCCCATCAGCCATCTGCGTGTCCTCCTCCGCCTCCTCCTCTTCCTCCTCCTCCTCCTCCTCCTCCTCCTCCTCCTCCCCCTCCTCCTCCTCCTCGTCCTCCTCTTCCTCCTCCTCCTCCTCCTCCTCTTCCTGCCGCGAAGCCCGACCTCGCTGCACCGTGCGTCCCAATCGTGCCCTGGTGCGCCTTGCTGCCGCTCTGCGTGTGCCACCTCCTCGGCGCCTCCCCACGAGCCACACGCTCCGAAGGCCCTCCGGCCGCGCCGCGCCTTCTTAGTGGGAAAACAAACCTACCTCGCCTTTGACCACCCTCGCTTCCAAAAGATACCAAACGATGCCAACCTACGGCCTGCACTGGTCAGGCCGGTTGACGAGGAGGCGCGTGGTATGACTTGGTTTTGCCTGGAAGCGAAAGCGGGGTAGGTGATTCACGCTCTGACTTCTCTCCCCTCTCCCTGCTTTCGTCCCGTCGGTCTTTCCCTCCTCTTCGGTCCGCACCGTAATTTGCTTCGCTGCTTCCCACCGTCGCCTCGCCGCTGCTTGGACCCGAGTGGCTGCTGACCCAGACATTCGCCGCGGGGCGTCCTGCGGACGAGAAGGCAGCAGAACAGCGCCAGCCGCAAAACTTCCCCAACCTCCCTTGAGCTCCTGGGGCCGCAGTGTCTTGCACACCGGGCGTTTTCGCCCAGCTTCGACCCCCAAGGCCCTCGCAGATCGGCCAGGCCAACAAAAACCTGCAGCAGAAAGAGGGCCCACGGCTCTGACCGTGATGTTCTGCGACTTGAGCAGGGGCCGACCGTCCTGGCATTCCTGTAGGCCCACCACGAAATGCTCGTAGAGCACAAGCATGCTCCAATAACAGAAACAATGTTCTTAGAACACGGCGCCAGTGTTCTACAACAAGACAGCCCCCGCCAGAACGCGCTCTGAGAACACGTCGGGCAGACCAGACAGAAGGCTCTCAGAACACTCCTTGGTGGGCCCATAGGCAGGCCAGGACGCCTCGCCACTGCCCGAGCGACGCTGCACAGTTGGCCCGCAGCGCCAGAGCTCAGGGCCCTCCCTGGCCCTGGCACTGTCCTGCCGCCGCGGGCCGCGCGCTGCTGGGCCCCCCGGGGGCCCGAGGGCGGGGCCGCCGCCAGAGGCCCCGCACCGCGAGAGAGAGAGAGAGAGAGAGAGACAGAGAGAGAGAGAGAACGAGCGTTAAGTCGGGCCTGTCCCCCGGCCCGCGAGCCCGATGTCCAGGTTCGCGCGCCGCCATGCGAGAGGGGCAGGGGCTCGCGCAGCATCCACGCAGCAAAGCGGATCGACCCGCCATGTGCCTTGGATCGGGCTGCAGCGGCACGCAGTCGAGATCGATTCGGAGCGGCTGCGCCAAGAAGCGCAACCACGCAATGCGAACATCGGGCCGTACCAGGTTGTCGGAACATCGGAATCGGATCGGATCGAGCCGGACGGAGCTGATATCGAGCTGACCGGAGCCGACATCGGACCGGATCGATCGCATCGGAACTCGGCGGCGAGCGAGGGGGGGGAGTCAGAAGGGGCGGGCCTTCTCAGAAGGCTCGGAAATCCCCCCGCCTTCTGAGAAGTTTTCTGAGCCTTTCCCGAAGACGCAGACAACTTCTCAGAAGGCTCGACAGGCTTCTGAGAAGTCCCGTCGCCCTCTGACGATGATGATGATGATGATGATGATGCTGATGAAGCTGATGATGATGATGATGCTGCTGCTGACGATGATGATGATGATGATGATGATGATGATGATGATGATGATGATGGTGGTGATTATGATGACGATGATGCTGCTGCTGATGATGATGAAGATGATGACGATGACGATGATGAGGAGGAGGAACAGGAGGAGGAGGAGGAGGAGGACAAGGAGGAGGAGGAGGCAGGAGGAGGAGGAGGACGAGGAGGAGGAGGACGAGGACGAGGAGGAGCATAAGGAGAAGGCAGGAGGAGGAGGCTGGAGGAAAAGGAAAAGGCAGGTGAGGTAGGAGGAGGGACCAGGAGGGCATTCCCAGCCAAGCTGAACAAATTATCATGCGGGTCCTACCGTCGGAATGCTGCTCCTTCCCATTGCACGAGCAGCGGCACACCAGGCCGTCTGCGGCCGGACTCCGGTTGCGCGCGCCCGAGCAGCCGCGCGCGCCCTCGGAATCCACGAGCATCCGCGTCCACGCGCGTGCTTCGCTCCTGGGAAGCGGGCAGGAGGACGCCCCAAACCCCAATCGGGGAAACCAAGAAATAGTTACCGATACCGCTGCTCCCCGGACCTCTCCCAGGGTGGTGCGTCTGACCGGGATTTCGAGGCGAATCCAGCGGTGGCGACGAGGGCCTCCCTGGATGCCCAAACAAGGGAAAACGAGCGAAGGGTAGCAGTATGGGTACTTGTTTGGGGGCGGCGCGCACATGGGGGTTGGGGGAGGGCCGCCTTCCCCCCCTACCCCAAGGCGTTGGAAGTAGATTGGGCTTCCGCCCGCCCCCATGAAGAGGAAGGCAAAGGGAACAAGCAACGCTCGATGCTTCAGGTAGGAAGAGCGCATACTTTCAACGACCGACGGGTCTGTACCCTTTCCTCCTCTGATGGCCCACAGGCCGCGGACCTCTCGGGGGCGTCCAAAGGGGGGGGGGGGGGCGCAAATCATGGCCAGCGGCACGTGCGCGGCCCAGAGGGGAAAAGGGGGTCCTGGGACGTGTTGCAACAGGCATAGGCGCCCTGACACCTGGGGCGACATCATGGCCCCCGCCATGACATCCCCTCCCGCTGGACATCACCCCCCTCTTTGCTGCCCCCGACGTTCGACGACGCCCGGCTCGCCAGGGGTCGCCGTCGACGGCCTCGTGCGCCCCCGGGACGGCCCGGCCGGGCCCGGCAGCGCCCGCGGAGCCCGCCGACGGCCCTGCGAGGCTCCCTCGGCGGCGGGGCCAAGGCCGCCCTCGAGCCGCCCCCGATGCCGAACCCACGGGCCGCTGACCCCGATCCTCCGAGCCTGGGCCGGGGGGCCCCTGCCGCCGACCCGGCGGCGCCGCGTGGGGGGCGGGCTGGTCACCAGGCCGCCCCCGGCCGCCCTCAAGCGGAAGTAGCCCGCGGCCTCGCCGCCGGGCCGCGGGGCGGCCAGGCGGACCTCGGGGCCCCCAGGGGGGGGGGGAGGAGGAGGAGGAGGAGGAGGAGGAGGAGGAGGAGGAGGAGGAGGAGGAGGAGGAGGAGGAGGAGGAGGAGGAAGAGGAGGAGGAGGAGGAGGAGGAGGAGGAGGAGGAGGAGGAGGAGGAGGAGGCGGAGGAGGAGGGGGAGGAGGAGGAGACTTAGACTTAGACTTAGACTTAGACTTACGCTTAAACTTAGACTCAGGAGGAGGAGAAGGAGGAGGACTCCGCAGTTGACCAGTGGTCAGCTTCAAAACGCGGGAAGGGCCAGCCCCTCAAGCAGGGGAGGCATGGGAGAAGGCTAAACCTCCCCCTTCTTGACTTTGGCCTTCTGACATTCTTTGAGAAGATTCAGAGCACTGCGTGAGGCATGGTGGCATGGCTGCCGCACGTCAAACATATGTAATTGCATTTGGCCGAAAGGACCATGCCATGAGATGCGTCAGCACATCTGGCCCCGATGTACACATTACTGAGCTGCCTGGCACCTTCGTACCCCGCTCTGGGTACAACGGCCTGGCAAGGAGACGACAAGAACTCCTGGGACGGGATGTTCCCGTGGGAATTGACAAAAAAGCATAGCAACACATATTACAAAACAACCGGCAACCGGTACCCTCGCCTACGGGGATCATTGAGTGCGCACTGACGCGCAGCTGCTTGGCTAGCTTCGGGCGAGGGTTGAAGGCACGGGGAGGAGCAACAGGAGGGGGCGACTGCTTGGCTCTGGCTCTCTTCCTAGCCCGAGAACGTCCGTCAGGAATGCCTCCAGGGGCCTCCGAAAACCCCAAGAGGAGGAGGGGGAGTAGACTTAGACTTAGACTTATACTTAGGAGGAGAAGGAGGAGGAGGCGGAGGAGGAGGAGGAGACTTAGCAGGAGAAAAAGGAGGAGAAGGAGGAGGAGGAGGCACCAAGAGCGCTACAATCTGAGTATTAAGTCTGCTCAACGTCAAAGGAGGAGGTACCCGTGGCACATGAAGTAGGAATTTCTTATGCTGCACTGTCCACTCAACGTCATCATGACCTTGATCGCATCTTACGAACATGCCCTGCACGCCAACTCGGCTGGCCAGAACTTGAATTCGTCTTCGGTCTGCCCCCTAATGCCACTCCTCTTTCTGCTCTTGCTCATGCCCAGCATCCTCCTCGCTCACGGTGAAACGAGACCGACGTCTCCAAAGGTATCCATAACCCCCGGAAGAACCCACAGCCGCCTGCAGGCGTACAAAACATCTGAAGGCCCACAACGGGCCGAAACACAACAACACATCAACGCAACAACACCAGCAACAACAGCACCAACAACAACACCACCAACAACGCCAACAATAGCAACAATACCACCACCAACATCAACGACACCAACAACGACAACAATGACAACACCAACAACCACAACAACAACACCAGCAACAATAACAACAGCAGCACCAACACCACCAAAAACAACAACAACAACAACAACAACAACAACACCAACAACAACAACAACAACAACAACAACAACAACAACAATAACAACAACAACAACAATAACAACAACAACAACAACAACAACAACAACAACAACAACAACAATATCCTGCCTCTCGCCCCCACTCCATGCTGATGGTTTGGACCTCTCGGTATTCTATGTCTTCTCCGAAGGCGGTCACGAACAACCCGCTGGAATGCGCGCTCTCCATGGAGACGATGCCGTGCGCGTACTCCCGCAACCACAGGCTGAAGCGGCGGGGCTGGAGGAGGGAAGCGGAGCACCATAACAATGGACAACACGTGCAAAATCGTAGCCATGTCGAATGGGCGAGAAACGGAAAGTGATGCAAATATTGATGATCGAATGTTCGGACCTGTGGGTCCTGGAGGCCTGCGGGAACCTTCGCGGGGGGCTGGCGGTGTAAAGTACAGCATGCTGGCCAGCGCAGACCCCAAACATGTGTTTCTAGCAATCTATCTTTCCCAGTCTATGTGGAACAATATGTAGCACACCGCAGTTGCGCATAAGGGTGAGGGGGCGGCGGGGACGTCGTCTGACTGCGAGGCTCTGAAGAAGCCCGCCGCAGGTGCCCAATTTTTCCAAACTATAAAACGAGCTCGCCGCAGGCGCGGATTATTTCGTTCAACCACTGTGGGTGGGTCGCGGGGTGGGTCGCGGGTGGGTCGCGGGTTGGTCGCTGGTGGATCGCGGGTGGGTCGCGGGCCAGGTCGCGGGCGGGTCGCGGGTGGGTCGCGGGTGGGCCGCGGGTGGGTCGCGGGTGGTTCGCGGGCGGGTCGCGGCCCGGGTCGCGGGTAGGTCGCGGGTGGGTCGCAAGTGGGTCGCGGGTGGGTCGCGGGCGAGACGCGGGGTGGGTCGCGGGTGGGTCGCGGAGTGGGTCGCGGAGTGGGTCGCGGGTGGGTCGCGGAGTGGGTCGCGGGTGGGTCGCGGGGGGGACGACGACAACAAATAACAAACAACAACAAACAGCAACGACCACAGCAACAACATCAACAAAAACAGCAGCAACAACAAAAACAACACCAACAACACAAACATCACCACCAACAGCAACAGCAACAACATCAACAACAACGACAACGACAACAACACAACCAACAACGGCAGCAACAACAACATCAACAATAACAGCAACAACAGCAACACCAACAACACCAAGCATTTCAATACTGTTCGCTCTTATCTGCTCTCGTGCCATTCAACATGTGTGTCCCGAACCCTCGATACCCGCCCTCTTCGTCTTCGATCGTGCCCCCTTGGAGGCAGCTTTTTCATATCTGCAACATGTATTTCGTGCAGCCCTTAAGGCAGGGGAAGGGGGGACGGATGGATGGAAGGGACAAGAGGCAGTAAGGAGGATAGAATACGACAGAAAGTAGCAGGAGGGGGGCTAGGAGCAGAAAGCACGTGGCAGCACCAGACGGGCAGAACGGGCGGGTAGACCCTAACAAGCAGGTCGGGAAGGCAGGCCCGGACGGCCAGGTCGAGCAGGCGGGTTGCTGAAACGTGCGTCCTGCATGAGTCGCAAGGAAGTCTCGAGCGACAGCGCGATTCCCAAATACATCGTGAGGAAATCCGCAGCGAGAGCGTGATTCCTGAGTGTCGAGGGCGCGGCGCCTGAGTAAATTGTGAAGAAGTCCCACGCGAGAGTGCGACTTCTGCATGCATTGTGAGGAAGTCCCGCGCGAGAGCGCGATTTGGGCATCTATTGTGAGGAAATTCCCGGCGGTAGCCGTTGTTGTTGTTGTTGTTGTTGTTGTTGTTGTTGTTGTTGTTGTTGTTGTTGTTGTTGTTGTTATTGTTGTTGTTGTTGTTGTTGTGGTGAACCGGGTGCCAGGGGCGCAGTTTGGTGACACCTCACTTTCCCTGGTCAAAAAACAGGGTACGAACCCCGGGAGACACTTTAATTGAAAAATGCAACGGTTACCGGGGAGGGGGGAAAATGGACGATCCATGTGGTGCATATTACGCGGTGCAATATAAGAAGGGGAATCCGTGTTTGTTCGCAGCGAATTGTCGACTCCACTGCTCGCGCAGTCACCCCGCCCGCCCACCCGCAACTTGGTTTGCAACGCCCATGCGGCGGCGATTGCGATGACTGCTTAGCGCTGGCCGCCGCATCGCCGCGGCCGCGCTAGCGTGCGCAGGCTCGCGCGCACAGCGTCCAACCGACGCGGTCGCTGTGGCGCCGGCCACTCGGGACTTCCCTTCGCGACTCACAGCCCGCGTTGACGCGCGGGCAGTGCAGACGAGTCGGTGACTCGGGCGGGTGCGATATCATGGCGACGTCGACAACGGCAGGCACGATGAGGTAGTGATGATGTTGGTGACGATGATGACGATGACAACGGCGAGCGCGCAAAGGCGTGCGAAAGATTTCGGCATGCGCGCTGGTCGCATGTGATGCAAATCTGGAACCCCTATTGCCTTTGTAAGAAGCTGCAGGATCGCGGGCAAACTTGTTTTGAACAGCCACGTCGCCAAACCGTGTGTTTCATCTGTGTGTCGGTAATCTATGCCTTGGAAATCCTGCGAAGCCTGGGGGGTTTGACCGATTTTGTCGTTCGCGCGTGACGCCGCGCGCGTGTGGACTGTGTCAACTTATTCTGCATCAGGATGCGTGGAAATGGCTGGTTTGTCATGAGCGAGTGGGCGTGTATTTGTCATGGGTGAGGGGGGTCGACGAAGGTACTCTCTGGTATGATCTGGGAACACATCAACGATGGGGCAATCTCATACGGAAATTGAGCTATCTCCGAAGGGGGCCGCGAGAACTGGGGGGTGGGGCGGTAAATCCAAATCCTTCTTCGACAAGAGAATCCATGCCGTGCAATGTGTGCGGTGCAATCTGTGCGAGGCGGCGACTGGGCGGCGACTGCGACGACGGGGCGGCGACGGCGAGCGCGGAGCTGCCAGACCAACTCCCAAGCCCAAGCGACGCGCGGCGACGAGGCGGCCACAGCAGCAACATAGCCGGCAAACCGACACACACGCCTAGACGACGGGCGGTGACGAGGCGGCGACGGGGCGGTGACGGCGCCAACATAGCCGCCAAACCGACAGACAGGCCCAGACGACTGGCGGCGACGAGGCGGCGACGAGGCGGCGACGGAGCGACGCGAGCGGCAACAACGCCGCCAGACCGACAGAAATGCCCAATTCCTTAGAAACGAATGGAGCACCCTATGAGCAAGCGCTGTTTTGGGAAATCTACAAAACCGCCGGACGGGCCAACAACATTACGTATCCCTGTGTGCGCGCACGACTTGCACCATAATGGGCGCCCAGGGCAATCTCTTCTTGCGGGATGCCATGCTTGAGCCACAATGTTGCGCGGAGATGCCCCGTAGGGTTGGCACCAAAAGTGCGTTTGAGAAGTAAACGAAACATTGTGCATCACGCAAGTAACCTGGCAATCCACCTTGCCCAGACTGAGCGCGAACATGCTTCACTACTCCACCGAACCATGGGACTCGCGTATCCCACCCTGCTCTACTCCACTTCACTCGACAAAACCCTGGGGAACCTCCGAAACCACAGGGTTCGTCTGCGTTGTGTTTCCTCTGTTCTATGCAGGGCGATGGCGATGAGCCTACGCTTGACATGTGCTCCCCCATTCTACCCTCCCGAGCCTCCCCCCAACTCTGCTCGAGCGCTCGAGCACTACCCCGTGACGTTTATTCCCCCCTTCTGTCTGGAAATGGGCCCAACGCCCATCCTTTCCCTCACATAAATCACACCTTTCGGTGCGAAGCCGTATGCGAACCGAGCATGTTCTTATTTAGACAGTGTCGCGCTGTGGGCGCTGATTGATCTAACGTGCGAATCCAAGAGAATAGCGCCGTGCGAACCATTCGCGCGCTTGCGTCTAAAAATGATGGGACAACATCATGGAATCGTAAGTAATTTTGCGCTCGCCGAGAGCTGCGCATTCGTTTATCAAACGGCCTGTTGCTGCTGTTGCGCGCGAGCGCACCCGAATCGTAAGAGCCCCACAAGCCTCTAACGATCCGATTTGCAATGTATCAACAACTCTTGGCCTCCATTAAGAAGTCTGCCTGACGTCCTGTGTTCCGGCGGCGC